GTGATGCTGCTAGGGTATCAAAAGATCTATACTAAAAACATTTAAAAATAAATTATGAAACAAATTGAAGTTGATGTGGTCTAAAAGATAATTTATTTTTGTCATAAACAATACAAATTAATTGAATAGGTTATTCTCAAACAAAGTTAAAGGACTGTTATAATCTACAATATTAAAATTTTATTGGTTTAGTAAAAACAAGACAAACTACAAATTTGTTGTTCACAACTTTCTAATTCAGTTCATTAAAAAATAATGTTTGTTTAGGCCGATCATGTTGTCATATTGTTGAAAGATCAAAGTTTATGATGTTCTTATGCCAAATTTTGTGAAGCAATGGACAAAACATATTTATGAAAATGTATGTCGAGTCATGTCTAATGAAGACATCTAAGATTTATACATCCAATTTTATGATGAGTTTTGTCAAACGACGATATCTAGGATTCTAATCATAAAACAAAATTGATTATGGATTTTTGTACGAAAGTTTAACACAAGATAACAATATATTAAGTTTTAAATCAGTATGTTGTGTTAAAGATATCCGCTTGCCCCGAAATGACCCGGCCAAATAGGGAAATCCCAATTCATTAGGCCCATTTTCAAAATTCGAATTGAAATATATATTTTTATGCAGGTATAGTTGACAATTATGAAAGTAACTATCAAATTTTTTTTAAAGATTTCAGAGGTTCCTACAAATCTCCATAGAATATTACAGAAATCAACAAAGATTCTTTACTGAAATTAAGTAAATTAGTATTTTAGTGAGGTAAAATTATTGGAAAGTTGCTAAAATGATCTATGAATTGAACTCAAAATCAAATGTAACCCACATTTATCCCTTTCAATTGCTTTATTATTATTATTCTTAAAAATATCTATAATCTTATAAAAGAATAAAAGGAGGAGAAATAATCAATTTTTTTAAGTACATTAAAAAAAATGCACAAGATTTGATAATTTTAAAGTTATTAGTTGATTAAATAAAATTATTAACCGAGACCCGCGCGTGCGCGGGTTAGAAACCTAGTAAGAGAAAAAGCTATATGGATAGAAGAATAAATGGAAAAAATTGTTTGGATACAAGAATAACAACTTAAAACAAATCGATGGTTTAGAAAACTTCCGTTTTTCAGCTCTTAAAAATCTGCAAAAAAGAAAACTTAACATAATTTAACGATAATAAAAAATCATTAGAATATGATTTTGGATTTTAGGAGTTAATTTTTTTTTTAATTTTAATTCGGGTTCAATTTAGGTTTCTTTTTTTGGTTTTTTTGGGTTTAGTGATATAAAAGTCGTTCAAGTTTTTTAAATTTCTGAATCGGGTTTGGTTTGGGTTTTTCTAGACAAGTTCGGGTTTGGGCGAAAATTTCAGATCTAATTTTATAGATATATAGAGCTATTGAAAGTGTTTAGGGTTTTCCGGATTTTTTGGATTTGGGTTTTCGGATTTAGACATATTAAAAAGGTTTGGGTTTTTTAAAATTTTGATTAGCTTTTTTGGGTCGGGCTCATGTTTAGGATTTAGATTTTCTTCACAAAACTGTAACGTCACACCGCGCGTTTGCGCGGATCCTCTACTAGTATTGTATTAAACGTTAATACTCAAATAAAATATTCTGTTATTATTATCAGAAATCAACATCAACAAAATTAAATATCTTATTATATAAAGCTGGATGCACGCGATGTGATTGCGACACGTATAATTTTTATAAAATATAAGATCGCGACATGTGTCACTTTTAAGATTATGTCCCTTAAGATCGTGAAAGTGTATTAGGAGAAGAAAAAAATATTTTTAAAAAATACTAGAAATAGGATAATTAAAAAAATGAAATTTAATTTAAAAAAAAAAACGAAATTTAAACTATTTTATATAAAAAATATAAATTAATATTTGTCATATCCTAACAGAAAAAAGTTTTCCCATTCATCAAATTTATATTATCCAAACACATATTAATTTATAAAATAAGATTGAAAATAATGTAATAAATAAAATCCTATTACTACAAGGAATAGGTATGTAAACTAAAATTTCTATATCTGCAAGGAATATGTTATATGAACACCTATAAATACAAAGTTACAGTAGTCTCTTTTTTCTCATTCACAAACTTATCAAAGTAAATTCATCAAAGTTCTTTGATTCTCTTTCTCTAATTTAAAAATTATGTCTTTGAATGTTCAAGAAAACAGTGAAGATTATTTGACTCTAGGTCAATTGGATCGAAATCGAAATTATCGTTGTATATAGTACGTGTTATTCGAAAGTGGGAAGTTAGAAATCCAAAAGAAAATAATATTCTTATGAGAGTTGAGCTTCTACTACTTGATGAAAAGGTTAGTAAGAAAAAATATAATTTACAATAAATTGTTACATCCATTAAGAAACGGAAAAAAAACATATTCCTAATACAAGAAGGAAAAAAAACAATATATAATAAGTTACACCCTTCATGATTTAATTGTGTACTTATATATTTTGTTTAAATTTTCTTTCTTATTAAGAAATGAAAAATCATGTCTTTAAAAGTTCAAGATATAAATGAAGAATATTTAATTTTAGATCAGTTGGATCAAAATCAAAACTACTACCGCACCATGTATAATATTTGATCAGATTATAACATGTGTTAATACAAGAAAATTAGAAAAATCTAATAACAAAACGAAAAATTGTCCAATATTCTAATTTTCAAATTTTTGTTAGGTCAAAAAATATTTAAAAAATTGATTTCATCAACTGAAACACATGTAAGTATTTCTATATTAGATAAAAATAAGATAACACAAATTAATTAATTTTTTATATCAAGAATTCAAAAAAATTTTAATTATAATAAAAATATAAAAGATTAATAATCTTATTTTATTTAGTGATTTGTTATCGGGTTTTTATTATTATTCTACTTACTTTTAAAAATAATTATATTATGTTTAATATTTTCCAGGATTTATTTCAAAAAGTTTAAAATAAACCCGCGTATACGCGGGGCCTAATCTAGTTATTATATAAAGTTGGATGCGCACACGTAGGATTTTTATAAATTATAAGATTATGACATTTGTCACTTTTTATGTTACGTCCGTTAAGATCGTGACACATGTTTTAGGAAAAAAGAAAAAAAAAATTAAAAGGAATATTTTAATCTTTTATAATAAAAACGAAAATTTATATAATAAATTGAAAATAATGTATGTCTTGAGAAAAAGGAAAAAAAAATTAAAGGGAAAATTTTAGTCTTTTATAATAAAAACGAAAATTTATATAATAAATTGAAAATAATGTAATAAAAAATACATATTAATACATGGAATATGTATGTAAACGAAATATCCTAAAACTGTACGGAATAGGTTGAAGGAACTTAAGCTGTTGACAAAAAAAAAAACTGTACGGAATAGGTTACATAAATATTTATTTTAAAAAATCATATTAGTACAGGGAATATGTATGTAAACTAAATATCATAAAACTGTATGAAATTGGTTACATAAACCCCCTATAAAAAGAGAGCTGTTGATTCTCTTTTTCTCATTCACAAACTCATCAAAGCAAATTCAGCAAATCTCTTTGATTTTCTTTCTCTAATTTTAAAATCGTCTTTGAAAGTTCAAGAGAACAGTTGAGATTATTTGACCCTAGGTCAATTGGATCGAAATCAAAATTATCGTCGTACTATATGTGTTATTCGAAAGTGGGAAGTTAGAAATCCTAAAGAAAATAATATTCTTATGGGAGTTGAACTTCTATTACTTGATGAAAAGATTAGTAACATCTTATTATATTGATATAGATAACTTTATTATAACATTGATTAACATTAAAGTTTTACTTCTGTTTGAAACAGGAAAACACAATTCAAGTATTTGTGCATCATTCACTACTTAAAAATTTTGGAGATCAAATGGCCGAAGGAAAAATAATTCTCATTAAGAAAAGAAAAAGAAAATGAAAAAAAAAAATTGTTACATCCATTACGAAAAGGAAAAGTAAAACATATTTCAAATACGAAAAGGAAAAAATAATAATATATAATAAGCTATAGCCTTCATGATTTAATTGTGTGATTCTATCTTTTGATTAAACTTCTCTCTCATTAAGAACTAAATATAATGTATTTGAAAGTTCATGATATTAATGAATAATATTTAACTCTAGATCAGTTGGATCCAAATCAAAATTATTATTGCTACTTGTGTCTAATATTTTGAAAACAAGTGTTAACACAAGAAAATTGGAAAAATGAATAAAATAAATAAAAAAGCTAACAAAATTACTAGAAAACAACTAACTAATAATGGAAAGGAGATTTTGTAATGACCTATGTCAAAAACAAAACTGAAAAAACAATATAAATATATTTAATATTGTTCCCCCGGTTTGGCTACCTGAACCGTTTTAGGAAACTAAGCTGTCGACAGAAAAAAAAAACAATATAAATAGAAAACTAATAAAATAATTATCGAGCAACTAACTAATATTAAAAGGAAAAAATTGTAATGAAATGATATTCTAATTTTAATAGTTTAATTTTTTTTTAGGTAAATAATTATTTAAAGAAAAAGATTTCGTCAACCGAAATCTCTTCAATGGAATAATAAAATTTTCACGAATTAATCAATCAATCAATCAAACTTACACATGTGTAAGTCTTTGGTTTAGAGTCCAAATCTCCTGTTTTGCTCCATAATGCACATTTTTACCTAAAATGACTCTTTGCACTATAAATCTATAAAAACTAACTTTTAACACAAGAATCCACTAGAAAACCATTAGAAAACCATAGTAAAATAGCATAAAAAGTAGGTAAAATAGAGGTATATCAGATTCTTGTGTTAAAAGGTAGTTTTTATGGATTTATACTGCAAAGAGTCATTTTAGGTAAAAATGTGCATTATGGAGCAAATTAGAGGATTTGGACTGTAAACCAGTTCAATGCCCCTGCATCTACTTTGGATGGAGCTAGAAAAAGATCTACTCAATGGATTTCATCAAGACTAGTTCCATGCGTGCTCTGATTGAGTTAACTTTCCAATGCAAGTGGAAAGGCCTAATTTGGATGAGTAGAAACGGAGTTATAATCAAAAGAGTGAAGACTGTCCAGACGGTTCTATCGAGAAATCAGCGCCCAACCGCTCAATCCGGCTGGCCGAGAAACTATTGTTTCGCGCTCGGCCAAAGTCATATCCGTCCGTCTGAAGTCTCGGCCAAAGTTCAAAATCGACCGGCCGATCACATATCACGACCCGGGAAACATTGTCCCGCGGTCGGCCAAGCTACAATCGCTCACGCCACGCCGTGCACGATCATGCCGCGCGAGTTGGGGAACAAAGCCTCGCGGCCGCGCAACTCGCTTCGCGTACCACGGCCGATGCATCTGTCCGAGCCGGGAAAGAACGTCCCACGTTGATGATAGGATTTTGCGTGTGTGATATGAAATGAGGTGGAATGCAAACAGGGGTGAATAAAGATGATGGTATGGTGCAATCACAATCAATCAATTCCTCTTAACCATCATAGTCATTGAAGTATAAGAGGTTATCAATCCAAAATGGGAAACTTGTCACTCTATGAGAATATGAAACAACCAGGAAGTCAAGCAAGCAGTAAGATTTGAAGTAACACTAACAACCTAAAAAATGAAAAGCAGTGCAATAAAAGTAAACAAAGCAGTGAAGTGCAGCTCGACCAAGACTCGAGTCGAGTAGAGCAAAGTACCAGCTCGATCGAGTTTAGGGACGAGTTGAGACAAACAAAGCTAAAGGTGACGACTTTAACAAGATAAAGAGAAATTAGGGTTCAAGACAGGGTTTTGCAATCAAAGGAATCTACACTTAATCAATCTAGCTCTTAAAACTCCTTGTATCAAGGCTTCTCTTGATATTGGGCTTCTCAATGCCTAGCCAACCCTTTCCCAAGGTGGAGGCTATCAACCAAGGAATGATCTCAGAAACAGGGGGTTAGCCAGTGAGAATCAAACCTTGGAGGCCATAGGATCATTGCCCAAACTAATCCATCCAACCCCTTAGACCTCTATTTCTAGAGCAAGAGATATTGGAGCTCTTAGTGGATCTTTTCCAGCGAATGCCATCACTTTCGTGTGGGGAGTCGCCTAAGGACTTACAAGCCAGGGGTAGTGGTCATGTAGCCTTAAGATCTATCCAAAAGAGAGAGAATCTAGATTAAGACCATAAGCTAGAAGGATTAAGCATATGAAACCTCTAATCTATCCCATCTCAAACCCTAATGGGTAACTACTCACTACACATGAATGTAAACACAAGCAAATGCAATAAAAGAGACATCATAAGAAAGAGGAGATGAAATTAAACAACTTTTATTGAAATAAGCAAGTGCAAATACAAAGAGATTATCCAGGATCTAAGATTCAAGAAGCAAGAGCTTCAAGAACACAAAGATGGGATTAGGGTTCTAAAAAGTAAAGACAATAAATTAAAAGAAGCTAAAACAAAATAATCTAAAGCTTGGTGGTTTTTTCGTGGCTTAGAGCCTTTAAATACAAGAGGATTAGGTTTAGGGTCAAAGGAAAGTCAAGGGGGAAGCAACATTTTTCGGGTTTGACTTTGACTTCTCAGCTCGATCGAGTTGAAGCTTGGCCGGTCGAGTTGAGGAACTCGACCGGTTGGTCGAGTAGACGGTCGAGCTGGTCTTCAAGATGGCTTCTCCCTTCTTCCTTTGCGTATCCAGTTGAGCTGCTTCCATGTGCCAAGTCCCTCCATGCTCCTCATGTCCCATATGCTCCAGAATGCTCCAAAAGACCTATTTCAAAGGACCAAACATGCATATGTATGCAAATGCAACCTAAAACTAACATGAATGCATAAGAAGAGAAAAGGAACAAGATATGATGCAAATGGAAGCTAAAACTATGCAAAAGATGCATAAAAGATGTGCTAAAACTATGTAAAATGCAAGCACATCACACGTCCGGCCGAGAAACCATCGGCCAAATCTTCTCCGTCGACCACGCCGGCCGACCGTGAAACATCCGGCCACGACCGTTCCGACTCGGCCCAAGACCCGACTGTCCGGCCGATCGTCCCGACCGACCGTCCGAACGCCGCGGTCGACCCGAAGCCGTTTTTGAAGCCCAATCCGCACAATTCAAGCCCAAAGCCGGCGCCGACCTAGCTAGATTAGGTTTAGCCGCTTTTCATACTTAGAGCATTATAAATACTTCTTTTTAGCCTTGTAACTCAAGAAGGAGAGAGACCACAATTATTTTACATCTTTAATAAAGTTTTGCTTGCTTTTACTTTGTTCTTGCTTGTTACTCTTTCTAGAGAGGATTCGAATCTCTGTTCTTATGAATATGAATTCGTGTTCCTTCTCTATGTCTGAGTAGTTTACTTGTTAAGTGATAGGAAGTCAAAGGATAGCATTCATGTATGCTTGATGATTGATCACAATTAGGGTTTTACTTATAATCTCCATCTTTGCTTATACTTAATGCTTGTTGTTAATCTGGCCAATTAGCATATGCCTTTAGGTTGATTTGAGCCTCGACAGTGCTGTATCATTCGCCTGAACTAGTATTTGGTGGGCAATCTCTTTTAGACTGCGACAGTTGATCTACTTGTAGGTTGTGAACAATTGATCTTATCGAACTAATGCTTGATTTAATCACCTAGGGACATACCAAAAGTTTAGCGACTAGGTAGATTAACAAAGGGGTCGGAGCCTCGACAGTGGAATGATCATACCATAGTGTTTCAAGTTCTAGATTAGCACCTAAGTGCGGTAACCCTAATTGATTGATTTCATGCTTCTTGAATTGCTTATCTCAAGACTATCCTATTGCTTAGCCTTTCTCTCCTATTGAATTCTCACTTTTTATTACTTGCATGCTTTACTTTCTCTGCACTCAACCAACTTATACTTTTGCCCTAGCTCGATCTCAAACTCATAGCTTGTAGTGTGCAATCTGGTCCTTGTGTTCGATACCCGTTTACTACTTCTGACCTGTGCACTTGCAGAATCAGGGATAGGAAAGGGGAAGACCTGATCCCGCGATCAAGTTTTTGGCGCCGTTGCCGGGGACCAATTCGCACCTACAAGTTCTTGCAAGAGAGCTAGTCTAGGGTTTTCTTTTCCTTTTTGTTTTTGTTATTTTTCCTTTTTTCTTTTGATTTGGTTTTTCCTTTTTGTTTTTAGCTTTTCAGGTTTTCCTAGTTAGATATGGAGAAGGAGCCACAAGCCTCTTCCCCTATAAAGGCGATGCCACTTCGCCACATACCACCTCAAAGACCTCTTGAGCGAACAAGAGATGTCAAGCCCTCAAGCACCACCACCTTCATGGGATAGTCCTCCAAGACTATCCTCTTTGAAGACAAAGAAGAAACTTCTTCCTTACCTTGAAGCAGCCGACCTGGAGACGTCTAGCCAAGCCGCATCTTACAGAGAAGAACACCTTCTAGCCACACCAGAAGAGGAGATTGACCCTGAGCTGATCGAGTTCGTGAAGAGAGATCAATTCCATGATCTGTTTTCAGAGTATGCATGGAGCACATAGATCACTTTGATAATCTTTGTGATTCCTATGGAGTCTTTGACTTTGAGAAGAAGATGATGCTATTCAGCACATCACTAGCTGGACCAGCACTAGATTGGGCGCAGCATGAACCACCCTCTACAATCGAGTCATGGATCGATTTTAGAGAAGCTTTCTTGGAAAGGTTTGCAAAGAAGCCACCTTTCAAATCCAAGTACTACCACTACTCTCATCAGCTGGAAGAGAGCGTGATGAAGAAGAATGGGGAGGCATACCACCCCATCCTGAAGTTTTGAATGAAGAGCTAATCAAGCATGTGGAGAGGAATCCTTTCTACAATTCTACTTCAGAGTGCAAAGGAGCATCTATGCAACTTTGAGCAGCTTTGCCACGACTATGACTTGGACATAACCCCAAGAAGATACAACTTTTCCAACTATCACTAGCTGGACAAGCCAAAGAATGGGCTAAGTTCAATGTCCAACATGCTTTCAAGACTTGGAATGGATACAAAGAAGCTTTCCTCCACATATTTGATAAAGGTCCTATTTATGTCCCACCACCACGCCCAAGCTATTCACATCACCATCCATGTAGTAACCCTGGTGTGAGATGAGGAGATTTGACTAATGGACTTCATGGAGAGGAGCTAGAAGTCAAATAAAACATTTCGATCGAAGAAAATCGGGAAACGAACGAGTAGAAATCAAGATAGACAAAGTTGAGCGCATACGGACGAACGCGGAGTATCGAGACGGACAAGTCCGGAACACGAAAAATGGAAAGTTGTGGCATTGAGATAGAAACTTCAGGACAACAAGAGGAAGACAAAACAAGATGTTCGGTCGAGACAGAAGTTGATTTGACGAGTATCTCGAGATATAAAGCTGGCCGCTTGATGGCTATGCCGAAGGGCGGCAAAGCTTGTATCGGCGATCGGGTCATGGATTAGACCAAGGAGGATGTTGGCGTGGACTTAGGGAAGACTAAACCTATGTTTTGCGTGGAAAGTGAGGCCAAGGACATCACGATTGATCGACCAATCAGGACGTGATAAGTGGCGAGAATGTTCCCTTTAAGGAAACACATGCCTAAAGAAGAGGAGAGTGGTTTGCCATTAAGAAAGAAACATTCTTTCTTGCATGGGGAGAATCTTTGTCATCTCTACAACATTGTTGACACCTAGAAGATTCTTGAGAATGAGGAGAAGAGAAGAAGACACATGCTAGCTTCCAAGAGAATGCATGTGGAGCGATGTGATGTGTAACATCCAAGAATGTTCATACAATGAACATGGACGTGATACACTGTATTTGGCACTATACTAGGAAGAGTATGTGAGTTAGTGGAGGTGCAGACCTAAGAGATAGGTGCATCTTTTCATTGGTTTGTTCTCTCGTGGAGTGCGCGGAGAAAAGACGAAACGATGGGGTGTGGACATTTGGCGAGAATGTTTGCATGCATGAGGACGTGATGAGACTCAAAAGAGGAGAGTGAGAGTGAGACAAGAGATAGAGACACACATGTCGAGCCAGGGAGTAACTTACATATACAAAAAGACATGTGTTGATTGGATGGATCAAAGGAAGGAAACGACGACAAGTGTCATTCTTTTTGACAAATGTCAAAAGACTCATGACAAGTGTCATTCCAAGGTGACTCACGACCACTTAGCCTATAAATAGAGTGCCTCAGCCTCACTTGCTTCCATTTCCCCATTCCTTGTGCTCTTGTTCTTCTTGAGAGCGAGAGAGAGAGTTTTAGCGAGAAAGTGTGTGTGTTCTTTCTAAAGAGTTTGAGTGAGTTTAGTGGAGTTAGGGAGAGAGTTCTAGCTAAGGAGTAGCTAGAGGAAGTGGAGAGTAGCGTATGGTGGTGGTTAGGCCGTTCATCAAAGTGGTTTGGTGAGTACGGTTAAGTGGCTCCGAGAGTAGTCACTGTCTGTCTTTTCTTGTTTGTTTGTGTGTTGCATTCTAGATCATTTAGAAACTTGTGGTTTCTTTTGATTAGATGCATGTGAGTGTTGTGGAGGTTGTTAGTATGTGTGATACTAACTTTGTGGTTGCAGGAAGTATGAACGCTAAGCAGGAGGCTTACCGTTATACTTTTTGTGTTTGTGTGGTGATAGCTTTTGTTAAAGCTTGTTTGTTGCATGCATGTTAGGATCCAAGAAGAAACGTGCGATGTTCTTCTTGGGATTGATTGCATGATTGGTTGTGTGTGTGTGTGGTGTAGTTAGTTTGTGAAACTAACGATTTGTGGTGTAGGGAAGAGAAGAAACGCCTAAGTGTTCAAAGTGTGATTAACAAGTTTTGTGCAGGGTTGAGAAGGAACACTTAGCGCGGTTTCTTGTTGTTGTGGTGAGATCATAGCGAAAGCTATGGATCTATTTGGTTTGTGTGTTGTGTGAGATCATAGTGAAAGCTATGGATCTATTTGGTTTGTGTGTTGTGTGAGATCATAGCGAAAGCTATGGATCTATGTTGTGTGTGTTGTAAGGGGACATAGCGTGTTATAAGCTATGGACCTATTGTGTGTGGTGTGTGAGATCATAGCCCAATGCTATGGATCTTTGTGTGTGAGGTCATAGAAACCCTATGGACCTAGTAGTGCGTAAATAGATCATTGTGTTGTTTGATCAATGATCTTAGCGGTGTATCGTGATGCTCCTCCTCCCTTGCGGTTCATTCACTGAGAAACCCTCTTGGATGGATCGTTAGGATGACTCAGAGGGTACTTGGGTCGCTCCCATGGCTGAGTACTACACGACGGTGTAGCCCGGGTGTCTCTTGTCGGCGATGGCAAGAGAGTCGGGGGCCGAGTTCTTGATCATGGAAGGGTCAAGAATCGGTGTGAGAGTCCGGTCAGGGTTACTGTGTGTTTCTCTGACGCGGATATCACGGTGAGGGGAGATCCGTGCATGATAGAAGCCGATACCACGTAGTTTTGGTGGTAGTAGCTTAGTGAGCGCTGTAGAGTGTGTGTGTGTGAGTGTGGTTGAGTGTTGTGTAGGAAAGTCTCTTAATTGAGACTATCTCCTTTGTGTTGTGTGGTTGTGCATAATAGTTGGACGCAACTATTATGTTATGTGTTGTGTGTTTGCAGGTGTGGAGAAAGTGGTGATAGACAATACTCGTGTATTGGTCTAAGGCATGACTAAAGAGCTTTGCTTCGGCATTGTCTTTAGTATGCGTGTGTTGTGATTGTTTGTTTAAAAGCTTCCGCTTGTGCTTGCTTTGATTGAGTTGTTGTAGTCGTTGATTGCTTGATTGCATGTTGTGTTTGGGGTGTTTGGGTAGAATTGCTTATGTAGTATGGGTAGAGGATCCCGGCTCACTAAGTAATTCTAGATTACTTATGATGACTCTGTTTGTTGCAGGTGACCGTAGCTGTGGTGTAGTTGGCGCTTGGACGTAGGAGGCCGGAGTAGATTGCGGTGTGCTTTTGTAAAAGCTATGTAAGGTTTCGATGGTTTTAATTTTTGTCTTTTGTTTTAAAATCGTCCATGGATGTAATAAGATGTTTTCAATTTCGGTTTTATGTAAGACAATGTTTATGAAATAAATCAAGTATGTTTTAAGTATATTAAATACTTGGTTTTAAAGATATTTAGTCTAGTCCGGACTAACATAACTCTCAGCTTGAATACGGGTTGGCAAGCCTTAGGTTCTTGTCTTGAGAGGGTCGGTTACCAAAGATGGACTAACCTCGGCCTTGATGTGTTCTTGGCCTTGAGGATGGACTGTCGATGGTAATTTGACATACTGTGGCGCCACTCAGCGCGGCTATGTCTAGCACGCGTCGGGGGTGTTACAATCCAGTCAAAAAGACATTTATTATGAAAAGAGAGAGTATTACACTAATATGTTAGGGTTTATATATATTATGGTTATATTTAAAAATTTCAAGTTTAGGGTTTTAGGTTTTAGGGTTAATTCAATTTTAGAGTTCGAGATTACAATTTTAAGGTTTATGCCATGGTTAGGATTTAGGTTATAGGGTTTAGGGTTTAGCTTTTGGGGTCTTAGATTTTAAGGTTTAGAGTTTATATTTTGGGTTTAAAGCTCTTTTACTGAGTGAAAAAAATGTAGTTTTGAAAATAAACACCACAAATGTGTAGTTTTGAAAACTGACATATAAAAAAGTGTAATTTAAAAAATTTCCCATTTAGAATTCTTAAAATCCTATTTAGGGTTTAGGGGTTAGGATATAATTGTGAGGTATTAGGGTTAAAGTTCTTTGAATTAACTTGGTAACAAAGTCTAAGATTTAAGAAAATATGTGAACTGAAATGTAAGAACATCATAACAGTTTTTAATAGTTTTTTTTTCTCTGAAAATACCTAAAACTAAAATAAATGTTATTCATTTTTTTTAATACACTAGCATGTTAGGGTTTAGATATTATCGTTAAATTTTGAAAATCAAGTTTAAAGTTTATGGTTTTAGGATTAAGAATTCAAGTTTAAAATTCGAGATGATAATTTAGGGTTTATGTTGATAGTTTAGGATCTACCGCTAGAAATCGAGTATATTATTTATGTTTATAACAAAATAAATGAAAATGTTCAAAAAAATAATTTTTTAATATGTATATCATAATATGATACACATGTTTTAATTAGATATATGAATCAAAACTTTTAAAAAATAAATAAATTTACTAACAGTAAGAAAATGAATATTATTATTTACATTGTTTGTTTATTTTTGTTTCTTAATATATCACAAATGGCATATTTTCCCTATTATTATGTTTCTATTTTGTGAACCACAAATTTTGATGACATGGCAAAAATAATTTTCTTTATATCTATTTTTTCAACACTTTCTCTCCCCAACGAAAATAAAGTTTAGAAAAGTGGACCCATTCTCTCTCCTTCCAACTCTCTATCTCTCTCATAGACACAAGGTTAGTTTTGTATTTAAAATTTTTTCTCTCTCCAATTGCCTCTTTTCACAATATGAAACATGGTGTTGCCTCTTTTCCCAATAAAAACTTAAAAACCGCCTACTTTCAAAATTAACCATAATTTTTATATGTTAAGGGGACTATTTTTAAATTTTGCACATAGGCTTAGGAAATGTTTGAGCCGGCCCTGGATGCTCGCACATATGAGTTGCGGTAGTGGTTTAGGTTAGCCACTTTCCCGTGAAATGATTGGTTTGGTTCAGATAAAACCAATACTGAACCGGACATGACCGATTGATTTTTCACTCATTTTACAGGGATCGATGATGGCCATTTTACAGGGATCGATGATGGCTGCAATTCACAAGTGAGCCAAGGGGTCCCAAGATCCGGAGAAACACAATTTCAATCCACAAGTGAGCCGCCATCGGGTAATAATTTCTTCCTGGAGACGCTTTCAGAGAAATTGTTTGGGCCTTTGATCTCTTTTGCGTTTATATCTTAATGTCTAAGATTTATAACTATTTTGTTTACATTGTTTAATAACAAGACCGGCTTAGGGTTATTGGTTTGGCTTAGATAAACCAAACTTAAGTTTAGATTAGCCATTTCCCCGTGAAATGATTTGTTTGGTTCAGACAAAACCAGTACTGAACCGTATTTTATTCATTTCTCTCTGTTGTTTATTATCCTAAATTCGATTTTAATTATAGAATTTGGTATTACTGAAATGGTATTACTTAAATCTATAGCGCTAGGCTTGCCAGTCTACTCAACGAATGTTTTCAAATTACCTGTGGGAATCTGTGAAGAGATCAACCAACGGTGTATTAGCAAAATTTTGGTGGAATTCTACGAGTGATAGAAATGGAATGCATTGGTTTTCTTGGAACAAGTTGTGTTTGCCGAAAAAAGAAGGAGGACTTGGCTTTCGGGATATAGAGTGCTTTAACTTAGCTTTGCTTGCTAAACAAGCCTAGAGATTGCTGCAGAAATCGGAATGTCTGATGGCTCGAGTTTTGGGTGGAAGATATTATAGAGATTCAAATATTTTGAATGCCACAGTTCTTTTATTTGGAAATCTATTCTGCAAGGAAGGGATTTGTTGAGAAGAGGTCTTCGCATGGATTCCAAGAGGAGCAAATCAAGCAGCAGAACGTAGTTTAAGGAATACATCAAGTTTCAATTATTACCCTCTAGTTCCATATTTTATTTCATCTGTATTACACTGTGACTTCAATATAATTCTATTTCGTTGAAAAAAAAAATAAAGGAAAACGAATAAAAAAAAAGACTATAAATACCTTCTTCCCCTTCGACCGCCTCTACAAAAATAAAGGAAAACGAATAAAAAAAAAGACTATAAATACCTTCTTCCCCTTCTTCCCCTTCCCCTTCTTGGAATATCTGTTTCTCAACTTGAAAAATCTGATTAGATATCTTTTTGTACCCTAGGTTCCGAAATTGAACGATTGTGATGCTGCACAAATTCGAAAAAGCAGGTAAAAACCGATATAATCTTTATATCTCTGCTATATATGTAAGATGTGTTGTTGTCATGTTAATATATTATTTTCACCTGCAATCAAATCTATGGCTGTAGAATCGTGAGCAGGATTTACGTTGAGGGATACGACACTTCGCTTTCTGGCTATGATTTCGTTGCGTCTATGAGAGGACACTTCTCTTCATGTGGAGAGGTGGTGCATGTTTATATTCCCGGATACACTGGTTACATTGAAGGCACTACTCTCAACAGGTTTGTGGCTGTCTCTTTCCTCCAGTTTTTTATCAGCTTTGCTTTTGCGATAAACTCTTGAATTTGTTTTTACAGATTTTCCTTGATTTATCTTCGGGGAGAAGGTGCAGAAGAGAAGGCGTTGAAACTAAGTGGAAGTTACAGCAGCAGAGGACACAAGTTAGTCGTGGAGCCTTACCCGTTTCATGCCAAACACCTTGACCATAAGTTTGCTCCTACGAGATACGAAGACAATATACAACATCACACGTCAGTTTTTTTTTTTATGTAGATTTTTTTCTGTAAGATAGGTTCTTGTCATGTTGGTTGATAAAATTATCAAATTATTAGGATTCTTGTTGGTGGATATGACACTGGGCTTCCCTTGGAGCATGTCGAGAGATATCTGTATGAACAACTCTCTAAATGTGGACGTGTGATGATAGCTATCTGCGAAGATGGAGAAGGTTTTGTCTACAGGTTTGTGGCTTCTTCCTCCCAATTTGCTCTCATATCATCAAATGCTAACCAAAGATTTGTTTTTGTTTGCTGCCTTTTATAGTAACGCTTACGTTACCCTTGTGGGAATAGACGCAGTAGAGAAGCTGCTGAAACTTAGTGGAAGTGATGAGGAAGGATGGGAGAGTCTTAAATTTTCTAGGTTTGATTGTCCAGATAAAGATGGAGAGGCCGGCGCCTGCAATATGCGACCCGACTGCCCTCTTGATCCATATTCTTCTTACAGTACTCCGGTAATGGCATTGGCTTCTTTAGCTCCCGAGGATCCAAATCTCCCTAAGCCGCCATGTATGACTAGTCTTCTCCCTCGTCCATGGATTTATCGTAAGGATAGTGGGAGTGGGACTGGCTATGGGTGCATTCTGAATACAGCGACTGGTGACGAGGTGGAGGTACCACCTTATCTTTTAGAACCTGCTTCGAGAATCTGCTACGCACCTGAGGATCCAAATCTCCCTAAGCCGTGGAAAGGTCTTGTGGATACTAGCACCGGGTATGGTTACTTTTGGAATACAGAGACTAATGTTACCCAGTACGAGATACCATATTCTTCAGCTTCTCTCCTTGGGCTCATTCATTCTTCTGTATATCAACGTAAGTTCCTGCATGGTTAGCTATAATCCCAACAAATACATGTATTTGGTTCTTGATTTCCTGGTAAAAAAATAAAACCTCTCAATAATTCGTGGTTTCTTTTAGGGGGATAAGATGATGACTGACTACGCAGTAGAAAGCTCGAACAAGAATCAAGACTACGCAGTAGAAAGCCATCTCTAGGAGAAGACAATGTTTTTTTTGGTTTTTTTCTTGTCTGGATGGTAAATGGAAGCTCACTAATCAACAATCTGCCTTTCCTTTAATATATAACCTAAGCATGATGTATTTATCTGGATGTTTAAAGTAAGCCATCTTCCTTCCTTAGTTCGATTGATTCGGTATAAAAAAAGCATCATCTCCCATATCAATTTGGTTGGCCAAAGTGTCAAGAGAGAAGATTAGTTGTAACATCTGCTCCCTAATTTTTTTTCCCCTGATGATTCTTTTGCGACCTTTGCCACTTCACTTACTTGTAAGCCTCGTAAAAAGTATGAAACAAGACCATTTCTTAAGCGATACAGAGGACGTCGTGTACTAATAAATGAAGCAGATCCAAAACTCAATGCAGACAAGTCAAAAATACATCTACGCCCATTCCTTGTGTTCTTTTTGTTTTGGTGCAAAGCCCCTTCTCGAGATTGAGAAGCACTAATTTGTAGAAACATGAAGAGAGACATACCGTATGCAATCACATTTAGATATTTTCTTTGTTTAACGACATCTAAAAGATGTACCTAATACATGTAGTGATTGCATATCCTTATGGATCATTTGATAGTGACATTTACATTAAAATTCTATAAGGATTAAAGATCCTAGAAATGCCAAAAGCATCTAAATAAATATGTTCGCTCAAATTACAACGACCACTTTACATATTAAAGCAATCCAGGTATATATGGTATAATCAATTAAGCAAATACTTGTTGGGTAAAATGATAGAGCATTTCCAAAACAGAATATTTGTGCACCAATTATATTACACCAAACAATGTTCAAACATTTTTCAATGGAAAAAACAACTCCTTTGACTCAATGGTCAATTTGATCCCTTGATATTAGCAAGAATCCATTTCATAAAAAATTAGTGCTTGTTCATAGTATCAGGGCTGTAGCAAATTCCATAAGCTTTACTAGTAATACACTAATACGGTAATACCCAAACGAGACACCTTAAACCGGGCAACGATTTAGAGTTTTTTTTACTTTTGATAACCGGTTTGGCATTGAACTCTATCAGATCTAATCTCCCGTTGTTCCTCAGTAGCTCAGTGGTAGAGCGGTCGGCTGTTAACTGATTGGTCGGCTTTGGCAATATTGTTGATCAATTCCATAATTAGTACTTCATGACTTCATATATCATTGATATTGCTTATTATTGCTTTATTATTAAGTCATCAATTGAGCATGGTTATTGTATTTTTCTTTCATATCTATGAATTAAATGATTAATGAGGTGATAATATTAGTAAATGGTATGATTGATTGAGTTATCTTCTGATGTTATTATTTTTGTAGATTAAATATTTTATCTATCATTACATCTTTGATGATATTAGGATTAATATATGGATCTGAAGAAAATACATGATCACCAGAATGTGACATGATTTAAATTATGATGATATCATCTAAGAGGATATGACTTGAAGTCTATAAGTGAAGAATATACCACTAATGCAAAGATGTTAAAATACATCATGTATATATTGTTGTCTTGCAGACATGATGCGGCATCTATGGGATGAGTACAAGTAATAATTCCCTAAGACAACTAGTGTTGCAAGTGCACAACATATAATTGTAGTATTTAGGGGTCGAACCACAAGGGATTGGATTTCACACATTACATAATCATAGAGTTTAAATGACTAAGCTAAATCAAAAGATGCAAGGGTTTGTGTTTGTTTAGAACACGCAAAAGAAATAACAATGCAATTCTATACAAGCAACATTATTGAACTATTGAAAACTCTTTTGAAAACATGAGCCAAGTCGATTGAAAAGTTTGTTAAAATCCGATTCTTTTGAACTCAAAACACTAAGGAAGGATTATTCCACTTTCGTGGTTCCAATCCCCTATGTCTCTTAAACCAATGGGCTCAGCTTTCGTTGGTCATTGTAGAGTGAGACATGCATTACATCCAAGTAATGATTGTTCACAAAACTCTTTAGGTCTACTTTCGTAGCCTAAAACGATTTGCCCATCAAATATTATCCGGAGATATAACAAGCTTTTGGAGAGTATATCAACCTAAAATCAAGTCACTAGTTAGCTACTCTAGCAACAAGCATTAAGCATAAATAAAGATGGAGAACCATAGGGTTTCCCCTTTTAACAATCGATTTTCGATGGCCATTATATCACGTCCTCATTGGAAGGATCCATAATTCAACAATGAGTCTTAGATAGTAGATGAAGTCTCATGAATCCTTAGAGAGAGAGGCGGCGGAATATGGACTAAACCACGCCTCACCCTTAGGGAGAAATCTCTACTTCTAGACTATATAAATTGAAACATGCAAGCTATATACAAATGCAAAAGAAGAAAAGAAAGAAGAAGGAGACCACCTAAGTGGCTCCGAACTTTATTGAATAAGTGTTTCTTGTTATGCGGCTGGTGATTCTTATTACAAGAGGCTAAAAGCAAGTATATATAGGTAGAGAGCGGGTCTAGGTCGGCAAAGTTGAGCGCGCGCAGAAGAGGAAAGTTTCCATTTCTCTTTAGCCGCTTGAGCTTGCTCTCCAAGTTCTTGAATGGGCCGCGTTCAGGCCAATGGAAGCTTCTGGATTGAGTTATGCTAGTGTCAAGATGAGCCAAGGCCTTGGGCGCGGTATCCGGGCCTCTTGATCCATCAAAGTCTCCATGGGCTCTACTTAGGCGCTCGTCGGACATGTCTTGGTAGAAAATAAGTTCCGGTCCAACGAGTGATCCAAATGACCTCTTTCCACTTCGCCGCGGGTCATGACTCAAATATCTATCTTTCCATATAAGAATCATGACTTTTGGACGTCGGGAAGGCATGAATATGCGGTCGTACTTCGGATGCTCCGGTTTGGTCTTTAGCGAGAAATGTAGATTTTGGTGCTCTAGACTTGGGAACTTGGTGATTTGACTCTTTTTGCTCCATTTTGACTCTTCTTTGCTATTTTGACCTGAATGATGCTCAAAACCAGAATATACAAGAAAACTACCTCTTGGGCTTAAAAACCACATTATTTGTATTGAAAACATAGTGAAAACCTTGATAAAAACATGAAAGATATGGGTATATCAACTCCCCCAGACTTAGCCTTTTGCTTGTCCCCAAGCAAACTAAGAGAGGAAGAGAGGTTTGAAAACGCAAGAACTCTCAAATCATTAGGAAATCCGGGTTGGCTTGGTTTTAGTAATCCACATGAAAGTAGTAAAGGCAAATATTTGAATTAAGAACAAGAGTACATACCATGAGTTTTGCGATTTTTCCAAGGCGGCCCACCTCTCTTTGGACAATCCAATTCACCCTCCTTGACTCCTTTCATTTCTAAAGGTGTGGTCTCAACTAGGGAGTATCGATCAGCCGGCTTTAGACTCTTACTCATCCCCTTGTTTTGGCACTTGTCTTTTTACTCCATGTTTCTCCTCTCTCTCTTCTCACTTCTTTGAGTTGATTCATCCCTTTTTTAGGGTAGCGAAGTATTTTTTTATTCAACTCCTTCTCTTTATTATAGAGGTTTTGCTTGGATCTTCCACAGACGCGAGTATTGATGGTGTTTGCCACCGAATCCCCGGTTGCTTGGATTCATAGGCCTTCCATAGACGCGAGTATTGATGGTGTTTGCCACCGAATCCCCGGTTACTTGGACCTTACGCTTTTTCTTTAAATTTGAAGGGGAGAGAGAGGGAAGCACGAACTCACTAAGACTTTTTCATTTGATGGAGAGGATGAGGAATCATGCCATTTGTATGCCAAGCCCCTAGCTGAGAAGATTAAGTTCATTAAGGGCGGAGTCAAGAGTGGATCCTTCTCAAGTCCTTGGAGGTGTGGGCGTTTTTGGTAGATCGATCAACTCATAGTGTCCCTGTGGTAAGATGTATTGCCAAGACTGCTTCAATGGTCACTTAAACGTTAGCACAACAATGGTTAGATCCAAGATAAGGTCATAATCCTTTGACAAAATTTTGACTCAATAAAACGACTCAATGAAATTCAAAAAGAACAAACTTGTTAGTAATCCCCCCAGAAAAATCCAATTAAGAGAGGTAATGATAAATAGAATGGAAAAGTTAGAGTTTGTAGAAAATTGTACCCAAATTTTTGGCCTTTGATGTGAAGATCGGTTGTGCGCTTGTAGTTGCTTCCAGGAATGAACTGACTGGTGCAAACATCATAGCTGTTGGATTTGGTTGGATGAATGTGACAATTCTCCCTTGGTTTTCTGTTTTTCGCCTTTTTGGCCGAGACTGGTCCGTTTTGGTCGACCGGATGGTGATGGTATGGACTACAGCTCGAACCGTGAAGATTTCCTCGACCTATCTTGAAATTTCGTCGACCAATATTGTATAATATGGCGACTGGTGAAGTTTGGGGTCGTTTGAACGAGTGGTTTGAGATCTCCTTTGAAAAATTTTCAAATTGGCTCCGGGAACGTCTTCCTTCGGTCTTCTCCAATTCTGCTCGTTCCAATCTGGATTTTCTTCTTTAGATGCGATGTGGATGCTTGATTGAGGTGATTTGAGCCGGTGGCCGCGGTAAATGCCGTGATTTGGATTGTCGGCCATTTTACTTGCTCGCGATCGGCCAAATTTCACTCCATCGGCCATCTCTTGAATTGTAAGGAATTCATTGTACTGAAATGAAATTTCATCGACCAACCTTATGTTTTGTGGCTCCTTGTGAAGTTTGAGGCGATTTGAACGTGTGGATTCGGAGATCTTTCGTGTGCGCGCCAATGGCTTCGTGATGTGATTCCTTTGGCCATCTTGTTTCTGTTCGATCGTCTCCTTCCTTTCTTCTTCCTTGGTGTTTTTTGGACTCCAGAGGATCAGTTTCCACCGGTGTTCGCGCCTTCTTGAGGTTTTGAGTTCGTCGGCCATTCTATGCATCGCCGTCGGCCGTATTGAGCTCTTCCTCGTCTATCTCACGTAGCAGGCACTTTTTCGTCCTATCTTTTGGATTTGCCGACCAAAATGATGTTTTGAGGTCGCCTGTGAAGTTTGGTGGACTTCGGTCGTGCCGTTTGGGAGATGGTCGAGCATTGTCGCTTGGTTCGTCGATTCTGGCCGAGAGAGTGATTGGAATGTGATATCTCCTTTTTTACTCGGGCCAATTGAGTTCTGCTTCGACCGAACTGTTTTTCTATCCCTCCTGGATTGAATTGTGGTTGGATTTCCCTCATCTCTCATGTTTGGCATGTAAATCCTCCTTTGGCCGGTTGTGGCTCCTTGCGCGCCATGTTTGTTGATATTTTGAACCGGTTTTCCTGTCATGTTTTATATCTGAAAAACACTAGTAACTCTTTGTTAAACTCTGTCAATGATTGAGATGCTCAAGTATTTGAACTTCCCAATCAATGACTTGATCGTGACACTACATGTACTTGGATCTTGATCAGAGATCCAAGTAGTGTTCATGTGTGAAATAAGATAGAGATAATGTTTTTGAGAAATGACATTTGAATGGGAGAGATTCTTACCTTGCCTTGTGCAATAGTGTTCCAATGGCCGTGTGCGCCCTTCTTGGACTTCTTCTTGAAACATGGGTGGGACTTGGGTGGGACTCAAACTAGACTCAATGCTTCATACTTAGACCAAAGATGGTTGATCTTGGTCAAGTCGTGGCGATGTAGCTTCCAATGCATTTTTCATGTAGACCTCCTTTTTGGTACTTTTTCCTAAAACACTTTTTATTTTATTTTTGTAAAATTTATTAAACTCTCAAAAATTTAAGAGTTATAAATAGAACAAATAAATAGTTTAAAAATAAAAAAAAAATAAAAAGAGGAAGGGATAAGAAAATGTGGGTTGCCTCCCACAAGCGCTTGTTTTAAGTCTTTGTAGCTCGACTCCTTTGTGTTCTTAGTTAGGTAGGATTGGTGGCTCCAAGAACTTCCTGTTGCCTGATGATTCCAAGTGCATCTTGTCCTGTAGAACTTCCTTGATCAAGTAGCCATGCGACTCTCCTCTTACTTGTGAGCACTCTCCTCCACTTGTGTAGCGAAATCGCTTGGATGAGAAACCGGGAGGTGCAGCATCGTAGAAGGTGTCCTTGTCAACATTGGCTAGAGAGATTCTTCTATTAGGCCAATCCATGATCGCTCCAGCTGTGGCTAGGAATGATCTTCCAAGCAAAAGCTTTAAGTCCTCCGGATCCTTCATGGTTACTACATAGAAGTTGGCTGGAACTATGCAGCCTCCAAAATCAAGCTGAATGTCTTTAACCTCTCCAAGTGGTTCGGTCAATGATGAATCAGCTAGCTTTAAATCCATTCGAGATTTCACAATTGAATTGATCAATCCCAACTTCTTGGCTATCTCGGCCGGCATAAGGTTCACACTAGAACCGGAATCGCAAAGAGCATCATCAAAGTAGCTTCCATTGATAGAGAAATGTATAAGGAAGTAACCTGGGTCATGAAGCTTGTGTAGAAACCTAGGTTTAGGCATCCCCTTTCTTGCTTCCTCGTACATCTTTTCCAATTCAGCTAGACTCCAATCTTGTGTCCAAGCTAGGTCTTGCATGAATGGACTCTTGTTGCAAGCATTATCAAACGGCACACCATAAGGGAATCTCCTCGCCATAAAGTTGAAATCATCTATGATCTCTTCAAGTGATGATCTTGTCTTCCTCTTCTCCTTGGTGGGAGGCGGTTGTGAAGACCTTTGAGTAAGGGTTCTTCCTTTTGGTGCTATCTTCTCTCTTGTTCCAGTGGTTAGCCTTGTGGCTCTTTCTTGATCAGCTCTACTTTCTTCTTCATCCCAAATCACTCTTGGGTCGGTCTCTCTTATAGTAAAGACGGGCGCGGCATGGTTGTGCTTAGAACGGTCGTCTTTGCCTCGGTCAAGACCTTCTCTTCCAAGTTGGCTAAGCGAGTGGTTAAATCCTTGACTTCCTTGGAGACTCCATCTACTTTGTCTTCAAGCCCTCTAGCTCTTCTTTGAATATCTTGGCTCCTCTTGTCTAGAGAGATGTGTAAATCTCGGATTTGTGCCTTCACTTGTTTTTGCCCTTCCACCAATGTAAGCATCGTCGAGTAACATTGCCTCTCCTTTAGGGTTACTTCGGCTACCTCCCTCTTAGCTTGATGAGCTACTGCTGTTATTGAATTGAGACTCTTGGTGGTGCCATCGAGGTTGTTATCAAGACTTGAGATCTTCTCATCTAAGTGATTGTCCATCTCCTTGGTAGAAACTTTGGTAAAGTGTATCGCTCTCCTATTGTCTTCAATGGCCTCGCCTTGCTTCTTCAAATCTTCCTCCATGTCCAAGCATCTTGACTCTACTCTCTCTATTTGGGTAGAGAGTTCTCCAAGTCTTCCATCTAGTTCGTATCGCGTGAACTCTAGCTTTGTCTCAATGTCGCGGCTAGTTTTTCTTTGGCTCTCCATGAAACCCTCAAGCACGGCATCGAAATGGCTATCTCTCCGCCTATTGAGAACATGGTCGTGGTGTGAATGCAACACTGGTCTAGGTGGTTGATGATAAACCGGAGGTCGGTTTTGATGATGATGGTAATGATGCTCGTCTCGGCTAGGTCCTTCAAACGTCGGATGAGCGCGGTTGGGAGGGAACGGATGTGGCACGATGCTTACGGCTGGGTCTTGGTAACTCCGGCCGTGGAGATCGTGTGGGATCAGTGTCCGGTTCCCAAAGTGGATGTTGGTGTTGTGATTCATCTCCAAGTACCTATAAACACAAGATTTAAAAAGAAAAAGTTAGTATTCGAAAATACCAAGATCTAGACTTAGTTTTAAACAAGACTATGCAAGTGTTTATGATGCAATCCCCGGCAACGGCGCCAAAAACTTGATGCGGCATCTATGGGATGAGTACAAGTAATAATTCCCTAAGACAACTAGTGTTGCAAGTGCACAACATATAATTGTAGTATTTAGGGGTCGAACCACAAGGGATTGGATTTCACACATTACATAATCATAGAGTTTAAATGACTAAGCTAAATCAAAAGATGCAAGGGTTTGTGTTTGTTTAGAACACGCAAAAGAAATAACAATGCAATTCTATACAAGCAACATTATTGAACTATTGAAAACTCTTTTGAAAACATGAGCCAAGTCGATTGAAAAGTTTGTTAAAATCCGATTCTTTTGAACTCAAAACACTAAGGAAGGATTATTCCACTTTCGTGGTTCCAATCCCCTATGTCTCTTAAACCAATGGGCTCAGCTTTCGTTGGTCATTGTAGAGTGAGACATGCATTACATCCAAGTAATGATTGTTCACAAAACTCTTTAGGTCTACTTTCGTAGCCTAAAACGATTTGCCCATCAAATACTATATCCGGAGATATAACAAGCTTTTGGAGAGTATATCAACCTAAAATCAAGTCACTAGTTAGCTACTCTAGCAACAAGCATTAAGCATAAATAAAGATGGAGAACCATAGGGTTTCCCCTTTTAACAATCGATTTTCGATGGCCATTATATCACGTCCTCATTGGAAGGATCCATAATTCAACAATGAGTCTTAGATAGTAGATGAAGTCTCATGAATCCTTAGAGAGAGAGGCGGCGGAATATGACTAAACCACGCCTCACCCTTAGGGAGAAATCTCTACTTCTAGACTATATAAATTGAAACATGCAAGCTATATACAAATGCAAAAGAAGAAAAGAAAGAAGAAGGAGACCACCTAAGTGGCTCCGAACTTTATTGAATAAGTGTTTCTTGTTATGCGGCTGGTGATTCTTATTACAAGAGGCTAAAAGCAAGTATATATAGGTAGAGAGCGGGTCTAGGTCGGCAAAGTTGAGCGCGCGCAGAAGAGGAAAGTTTCCATTTCTCTTTAGCCGCTTGAGCTTGCTCTCCAAGTTCTTGAATGGGCCGCGTTCAGGCCAATGGAAGCTTCTGGATTGAGTTATGCTAGTGTCAAGATGAGCCAAGGCCTTGGGCGCGGTATCTCGGGCCTCTTGATCCATCAAAGTCTCCATGGGCTCTACTTAGGCGCTCGTCGGACATGTCTTGGTAGAAAATAAGTTCCGGTCCAACGAGTGATCCAAATGACCTCTTTCCACTTCGCCGCGGGTCATGACTCAAATATCTATCTTTCCATATAAGAATCATGACTTTTGGACGTCGGGAAGGCATGAATATGCGGTCGTACTTCGGATGCTCCGGTTTGGTCTTTAGCGAGAAATGTAGATTTGGTGCTCTAGACTTGGGAACTTGGTGATTTGACTCTTTTTGCTCCATTTTGGACTCTTCTTTGCTATTTTGACCTGAATGATGCTCAAAACCAGAATATACAAGAAAACTACCTCTTGGGCTTAAAAACCACATTATTTGTATTAAAAACATAGTGAAAACCTTGATAAAAACATGAAAGATATGGATATATCAAGACACAATAACATTAATATATTTGAGAAGTATTTTTTTTTTTGTCATGTAGACACAAAAATATTATAACATTTAAGAAGTAATTTTAAATATTATTGTCTTGCAGACAAAATATAACAAACTCAAATTTTCACCTGAAGTGATAATAAAATGGTAATGGTCTTGATATTATTTATTTATTTTCTTATTATACTTTGTTTATATATATGTTTGACAATATTTATTTATTTTTATATTATCCTCTATATGAATATATTGTATTTGCATCTAAGGTTACAAGATTTGAAGTCTATAAATGATTTTTATTTATCTGGAAGATAATGTAGATCAATGATAAAAGGCATACATCTTAGATAAATAATATTGTCCAGCAGACAAAATATTATTGAAGAAAGTTTAAGAAATTATTTTGATAAAATAATGAGTTACTGACAAAAATTTTGAATCTTGTCTAATTGGTTTTGATTTATTCCCTGGACTGAATGTGATATAAATGATTAAAGATATGGTTATAGATATGAATATAGATATCTTATGGTTAATGTTAAGGTCAAAACCAAAGAGTTTTACTTTAAGAACTTAAATTCTCACAAGAAGTGAGAAAATAAAGATGACATCAAATAAAAAGATACACATCTCCATAAGAGTATATAAATCTATATTTGCTTATAGTAAATAATTATTGATGCATTATATATTTGAAGTCCCAGAAGTGAAAAGAATCAAAGACATAATAAAAATATAAGACATGATTCAAATTGGGAAGATCAATGATTTTATACTAGGATTCCATTCGAGATTGATGAACCTGAAGTGACATCATCTCGAGGGGGAGAATGGATGAATCCCATTATGTTCACACTTAAGATAATCATATATAATGTAACTCAATGGTGTAAAATTATTTTGAAAAATAACATATTATCTAATGCCTCATCATAGACAAAGATTATATAGGAGATGTAAATGCTATATGTAGTAAACTAGAAGTTTACCAAATATAACATAGTTTGGCATGAGCTGGTTAGACCATTTCAGTTCAAGATATTATGCGAAATAAAATACATCATGTATGTCTCAATATTACATATCTGCAACCTGAAGTTTGCGAGATTACTTGGTAGTGCTAGTGAAATCACATCTTAAATCTTTGTTGAGAAAAACATGTTTGTAAGAATAAATGTTGAACATCCAGTAGCAAATGTTCATCATTACACATAATGCAAAAGCATTAATTCGCATAAAGCCAATGAATAACTAAAGGTTCTCCCCATCGTAATTGGTTTAGGTCAGAAACCAAAGTTTTCCATCTAAAGATCTATGGATGTGCAGAATACATCCATAATGCTCCACCACAACAATATAAGATGGACCCTCGAAAGGGATAGTAAATGTATGTTGGATATTAATCTCCTATGATAATATTTAGAGCTATCCATGAAGGATTTAAATATGGCTCAATTTGTAGACTGTCATTTTAGTGATTCAGTCTTTCCAACATCAGGGGGAGAAAATAAAACAGCTGGAGAAAGATTAAAGTTAGAATGAATTATCATTGATCCTCAGACGATAGTATGTGAAATAAAAGTCTAAAAGATAATTCATTCACAAAACTTATTGTATCAATTGCCAGATACAATTACTGACCCAAATATAGTGTTGAGTCACTTACCAGCTGTAAATGCTCTAAAAGATTTCCCAGAAGGACAATATCAAGCTGCTAGTAAGTCTAAAGAACGCATGAAGTGTGATAGACTTGTTGGTTTCAAATATTAGAATCCTCGGTAAAAGTAAAATGAGCATAAATTGATAATGGTTAAACCGAGGAAACAAATGTTTTTGAAATGATCTCAAGAAGAGACATTAAACATGACAAGAAAGAAATTCAGGTACCTGAGACAAAGAAGAGATCTCGAGAATTAATTATGTCATGTATGGAATAAAATGGAACCATAAAAGCAAATCGACGTCGTAAATAAAATATTTGCATGCATTATAGCAGTTGATGTTATGAATGAGAAAGAGGATCATGAAACAAAGTCTATTGCATTGTGTACACAAAGTAATGATTTGGCCAAATCGAAAAGAAGCAATAGACAAAAACTAAAATCTCTTAGAAAGAGAAATGTATTTGGACCAGAAGTCCTTACACCTTAAAAGTGTAAAACAAGTGGGTTATAATAGGCATGTGGTGGATGCAACTTTCAAGTTCATTAAGTGTGGCAATGAAAGAAGAACTTGACACTTTTATAAAAGTCCCTGAAGGATATAATTCCTGAAGGATTAATGATATCAAAACTATGAAGAACTCTAATTATTTGATCAAATGAAGAGAAATACTCTCAGTGGGGTACAATCACAAAAGTGATATATATACATACATATATAATCAGTACCCACTGTATATTTATAAAAATATTAAGGTTGGATCAAAAGAGATCTTAATCTAAACATTATCGAAATTCTTGAAGAATTGTCGAAATTAGATCAAAAGATATAGATAAAAGATATTGGAAAGACAAATTTGTCTTAAGATATCTCATATTCACAGTTTAACAAAAGAGATATTATCTCAAAAGATCCTTGTAAGATTTGCATTAAAAATGCTCACATTTGGTTTGAAGTACCACACTTTAAATTATATTTGAGAAATGTGTTGGTCTCTTTCATAACTGAAAGATGAGAACAAAATGAGCATGAGATAACTCATATATACAAGATAGACATTTACAAAATGTATATAAAGAGAAAGTTTGGCCAGAAGTCCAAATATAAAAGAAATGATTGTTTATAGAAATAGATGTCATATACTAGAAGTTCAAATGACTTTTATTGAGGTTATACTTATAGCAATCTCCAAAAGATGATATTTATTATTGGAATGCATCTCTTGAAGAAGATGCTTCCAAAGGGGGATATAAGATGATATGTGTGGTTGTACTCTTTTTCCTTATTGTGGTTTTTATCCCATTGGGTTTTTCCATGAAAGGTTTTAATGAGGCAACAAAGAACACACAAATGAGAAATATCTAAAGGAAGTCTAAAGATGAAAGTTTAATTCCTTTCCAAAGTCTTGTCATCCATTTATGAGATCAAGTGAAACAAAGAGAATGATCAAGATGAATCATCAACTACATCCATGCACTACGAAGAATGGCGATGTCAATGTCTAAAGATTGTTCAAGTGAAGATTTTGAAGATTTCTTTAAACAAGGAGTTTCAGCGACTACTTTCAAGGAGTTAGTTCATCTTATTGGATTACGTTATCTCAAACATTTAGACGGATGTTCTCATGAGGGGGAGTAATGATGCGCTGCACTCTTTTTCCTTAGCTAAAGTTTTTCCTGGGTTTTCCTAGTAAAGGTTTTAACGAGGCAGCACCTTATGTATTTAGAAGATATTTTAGATAATGGACATCCAAGGGGGAGTGTTATGGGTAAATATGTGGATGCCCATTAGCCCACTATACCCACTTCACCATTTGTATCTTCTCTCTTGAAACCCTATATTGTACTCCTATATATATGATCTATCACTCATGGAATAAGACAACCTTCATTCTCTCTTTCTCACACCATTATATTCATAGTTGATTGTTCGATTGAGTTTTAAAAATGATTTGAACTAATATCGAGTAATAAATTATTTAATAGGGGAAGAAAATACATGCAAGAACAAGTTACAGAAGCAGGGATCAATCCAGGTTTTCCTTAACCGAAGGAGAATAGAGAGAGATCTCGAGATTCAAAATCACATGCGACAATTGGAACAGATCAGACTACAAGATCGCTAATCACAGATACATGATCATGCTAAATAATGACACATAAGTCTGGCCGCTGGAGCCTCTCTCAGACCATCATTTCTTCGAGTTCACTCAATTTGAAGATGTCATCAATGGATATCATGACGAATGTTTTTCTCTAGGTATGATTGTTCGGCAATTATTTTAAAGACTAATATCAATTATTATTCCTGAACTAATAATTGCGTTTCAGATCTAATCGGAACTATTTCATACATGGGGAAGCTTTCACCTCATCCTAAAACTCTTGAAGAGCGAAGATGCATTCTGTTTCACTTGAAAAACGAAAGGTAATCTAAGCAACGTTTAATACAAACTAAACTGAAAATGTATATCTTATCAACTGAATTAAACTTTGATATTTTAATGATTACAAGGAACGTTGAACTATATTGCATCGCGTGTGATAATTTTGCTGAGGATTTGAACGAAAATTGGAAATCAATGAATCGTAGAAACGTGATAGCTGTGCTAGGTGAATGGAGAATCACTCGCTCAAAGGGTAAGTAAATTCGCTTTTAGTATACAGAAATGTTATAACATAAGTGTTTTAAAAAACTAACTGCATTACAAACATGTGATATCTTTGTAGTTGATTCAAAAAGGCTGTCCAGAATCTGGTTCGATCCAAACATCTCTGAAGCAAAAACAATGAAACAGAGATTAGACACAACATAACTATTATGAAAATATTTGACAAATTCATTAACTTATGCTGTTTGTAGGTTGGCTCTTCAAAATAACTACATAACCCGGAAAAAGATATGGATGGAGGCATCAAATACAAGTTTTCAAATGGGATTCATGTCATCCTTTAATCTAAAATGTATTTGAAAATAAATATTCTCCACATTCTAGATATAAATATTATGTTTTGTGGACTCTGTAAAACTGTATGAATGGCATAAGTTTTATAAATTTATTATGGTTTTTTAAATTAATTTATTAAATCGTACAAATATTTTTATAAATATTACTTTGGTTAGTTAAATAGCATAAGTTATATTATTTTATTACTTAAAGAATGTTTCTTTCAAAATATGTATATTATTACTTTTTCAATTCTACGAATGACATAGATTGTATTATTTTATTCAATTAATAATTTATCAAATAAAAGGAAGACTTAGTTACTAAAATATTTGTTTAGTTAGATAAACTTTAAAAATAAACAACCTATTAAATAAAGCAATTGCAAAACAACAAATGTATCACGCATTAAAATAACATAATTTCTAAATTTAGTTAAATTTAAAAAATAAGATGTGATAGAAATACAGACAAATTAATAAAGAGAGTTGTCTTTTCGATAATTAAAAACAGTCAATGAAATCATAATAAAAGCAACTGATAAATGAGAATTTATCTTCTCGGAAAACAGGTTTTTCATGTTTCCAATGAAGAAATTGAAAAAATGGGGGGAAAAAAATAACAATATTATATTATAACTGAACGTAAATAAAAGATATAGAACGAGTATAAGAAGAACACAATCGGAGCGATTTTAGAATATCAAAACAGTCTAAGCAAATATTTCTCTTTCTCAAGATAATATGGCAAACTATCAGAGAATCGATGCCCTTCGTACATCAAGAACAGATTGGAGGATTAGAGCATTCGTTGTTAAAAGGTGGGAAGAAACTATTCCAGGAGCAGATGTTTTCTTGCACTACATACTTACAGACGAAAGTGTAAGTGATTCCATCTAATAATATTATAGAACATTTAATAATAGATAGAGATCTATTAAACTTGAGTTCATCTTTTTGAAATTTAACAGAATCGAAAAATTCATGCATCTGTCAAACGGGAATATTTCAATCCTTCTTTCAAAAGAAATCTTCACGAAGGAGAATGGAAAGAAATCGAAGATTTCGTGGTTGTTAGAAAAGTTTCTCCTTTCAGATTTTCAGAGTACCACTTGGAGATGGTTTTGGTTGAAAATACCAAAATAAGACCGGTGGAAAATGATAACCCACCGAAGTACATGAAGTTCAAGAAACTTCAAGATGTCTTTCTCGGAGATATCTGTACAGCGTACCCTGTTGGTAAGTGAATTATCTTTCAAATACAAGCGCAGATTTATAAGAGATTAAATAAATATTTTAATTAATACTAACCAAACATTTTTCCCTTAAATTCAAAGATGTGATAGGGCAAATTGACTACGTTGGTGTTCCTGAGTTAGTTCCAAATGTGTTGTTGTATGGAGAAAACACAACAAAAACAACATCAAAGATCAGGTTTGGATTAGAAGACGAAATGTAAATTAACTATTTTAAAAAGTATTTTACTACGAAAGAATTGAATATGAAATAAAAATGTCAAAATTTCAGGGAGCTTGGATTGATTTGTGTGGCATATGGTACGTTGGCTGATCAAATTAATGACCTATGCTAGACTCATGGAATTGTCATTGATATGGTCAAAATATGTGTCCTAACAGATTGGAAAATTATCGACATCAACAACGAAGGTAAAAATACAATAAAAAATATAATGATTTCTTTGTATATACATTTACTTAATTAAGCTGATTCTGTTCAATAGGTGAACATCAACTGGTGGGAATTGAAGGACCGTCTCGGTTTGAGGTGGATGTTGATATACCAGAGGTCAAACAGTTGAGAGAAACCATGTAAGTTAAATTCTTACATAAAACAAAGATGCTTTACAAAGTAAAAGAATATCTATCTAGCTTCTAAATATATTTTTTTAAATAACAGTCTCGCGAAAATCCGCAATGAATATGACGATGAAAGCTCGGAAGATTCTTGATAAAAGTTTAGATGTGGATAGGTGCTGCAAGCGTGAAGAAGAAGAAGATTTCAATAAATCATGTTATTTCGGTTGTTGTTTTTTATATTTGAGAACACTTTCTTATTATTTATATGACTTATTTTCATTTTAAAATATACATATTATGAAACAAAAATTACGATTCACGGAAAACTAAACAAAAAACACATATATTGACAAGAGATTTACACATATAGTAAATAATACGAACACATACTCATAGAACATAAATTTTTATAAATAATACTTCGGATTTTAGACATAATTTATGTAACCCGTCATTCTTAAAGCGAATATATAAAGAGAAGATTCTGAAATTGACAGTAACTTATAGTAACTTCTGTACCGCAATTTACAGGATACTCAAAGATTGATTCTACTCATATACTTATTCAATACCAATCAATTAAGAAAATATCATAATATATAAAAATATATTGAGATTTCGGGAGAAGAGGACATATTAAGAATTTAGTAATCTTGCGTGTACCATCACATAATCTCTTATTAATTGAAAACCCTCAAAAGAGCAACCGTATATAAATATTCTCCCTTCTCAAGTTAACCATCACAAACAAAAAAAAAAAGATCTTCAGAAATTTAGGAACAATGATCGACGCTAAACTGGCTGGAGTTACACCAAACCATTATGATTTGAGGATCACTGTGAAAGTTTCAAAGATCTGGGATACATTTGATGTCAACAACGGTGAAGGGCTAAGTTTCTTATTTGTTGATGATGAGATAATGAGAAACTCTTAATTAGATTCGCTTAATAAATCTTACATGATACTAAGTGTTTTCCTTATTCATTCTCACAAACTGAACAGGGCACGAAGATGCATGCTTTCGTTGACAAAAAAGATCAGAAAAGAAGATTCAGGGGACTACTTCACGAAGAAGATTGGAGGACTATAACTGGTTTCAAAGTTGTCAATGTTAATACAGAGATTCGTTTGACAAGACAGAGGAAATAAATAGTTCTCACTTCTGACACACAAGTTTCCAGAGGAGTTTGATGGTTTTATTCCGCTTGATTTCATTCCATTTAGAGATGTTCATCGTTCAAATGTTCATGATGGAACATCTTACCCTAGAGGCTATTACCTCCATTATCTTTTGTTTTTTTTTAACATAACAAGAAAGTTGAGTTTGATTGATTTTCTCAGATTTTGCTTCGTGTAGTGATAACTTCTTTTATTGTGGCAAAATAATAATTGTGGGGGAGTTGGATGTCATGATAAATCGTTTTCTTCCTAGGAACATATGAAACCGTTATGAGAAATATACTAGCAAGATTGACTTTGTGCTACTGGACAACGAGTCAGCTTTTCAATTCTATAAAACGATTGTCTTTAAAAATAGTGACTTAATTGAGTATTAGGAAACTGAAATTCCCGTTTTTCATGATTTAAGTGGGAATGCTCTAAACTGTCGTGCAAAAGGACAGTTAGCAGATAAGTTCAAAAGTTTCTGGCTTTGTTATAGTGATACCGGAACAAACATTCTTCTCCTAACTGATTGGCGTGTGGTTGGATCAGGTGGTAAGTTAATACTCTATAGATTTCTTTGGTATTTTTTGGTAGTTAGAGTTTTCAACATTCTTCATATGTAGATTACAAAATTACACATATTTATCTAATGTACATATAGATGGTATACAAGTTGAAACTTCACAGGGTATATCTACTTTCGATTTTCATCCCACCGGCCACTTAGAGGTGGAACACTTCGAGAATATATTGTAAGTTTTTATATTTCTTATCAGAAACTATTCAAATTTCAGACCTTGAATATGACTAACTATCTATAACCCACAATGTTTAATCATTTTTACTTTATACAGCTCTCATCCCACATCGGAAAATAGCGACATTGAATCCATGGATGATTGAAGTGTGGACTGAAAGTTTGAAGAATAGAAGTTTGGAGAAGATGTTTGATTATCACGCTTTTACTAATTTTAATCTATCTATCTGTAATTTAACTATGAAAATCAACGTTTCTATTATTTAAGTTTAATTTCAAGTGAATCACTTTTCTCAAGTAATTTTCAAAACCATGATTCATAAAAAGAAAAATCAGTTACCTATGTCACTATCTGTAGCATAATTTTCACATGAGTAAAATGAAAAAGCAGTATATTCGTTAAAGTAATTTACTAACGTAATTCAATCTAACTATATTTCGAACAAACAATGGACGTCAACTTTTAATGACTTTTACTATTATAACTAAATTCAGATACATAAGCACATAACAATTTGCATACTTCATAAATATCCGTTGACAATAAAATAAAATAGAAAATTGATGAAAAATATATAAAAAGACACAACGGTCAGGAAAAATAAATCAGTCTACTACTGTCTGAAAAAGTAATACTACAAGTCAATGTAATAATAATGACTATTTATGAAAACACCGAATTCATCTTCTTAAACAATCTTTTCGTTTTCCCAATGAATACCCAGAAAATAAACATTTATCGAATGATAAGATAAAGGAGAAAAGAGACAAACAGAGATTAAAAACAGAACTAATATCTGAGTGAAATTGTGCAAAGTGAAGATTCCTCTTTCGAAAAGAAATATGGCAAACTACCAAAGAATCGATGCTCTTCGTACGTCGAAAAAAGATTGGAGGATAAAAGCATTTGTTGTTAAGAGATGGGAAGAAATTCTTCTAGGAACGGATGTTGTCTTGCACTATATTCTTACGGATGAAAGTGTAAGTGACTCGATCGAAATATATTATACAGAAGATTCTTATAGCTAGAGATCTCTTAAGTTTGATTTTATATTTTTTGAATTTTTACAGAAGCGAAAAATACATGCGATTGTCGATCGTGAAGATATGATTCATTTTTTCAAAAGAAACCTTCACGAAGGAGAATCGAGAAAAATAAAAGATTTCGTGGTGGTTAGAAAATATTCTCCTTTCCGATTTGGAGTAAATCACCTACAAATTGTTTTGGGTGAAAATACAAAAATAAGACCGGTGCTAAACAATAACTCACCAAGTACACGAAGTTCGAGAGAATTGAAGACGTAGTCCTCGGAGATATCTGTACAGCGCACCCAATTGGTATGTTAATTATCTTTCAAATACGGGATCGTAGATTTTGAATGGATAAAATTACTTTTTTTAATTATTGCTAACTATCGATTCAATTTCGTAATCAAAGATCTGAATGGGAGAATTGACTTCGTTGGTGTTCCGGAATTCATTCAAGATGTGAAGTACGGAGAAGACACAATAAAAACCAAAAAAATTAAGATCAAGTTTAGTGTGAAAGATGAAACGTAAGTTAAAGATTTAAACAAGTATATATTAATATAGATAAATAATATTTGAATTTAGGATGTTTCAGTTTCAGTGATCTCAGATTGATTTGTGTCGCATATGGAACATTAGCTGATCAAATTAATGACATATGATGGTTACATGGAGTTGTGGATGATATTGGAAAATTAACAACAACCAAGGTAAAAATATACTCAAAAAAAATACAGATTACTTTAAATATACATTTATTAAAATAAACTGTTTATGTGAATAGGTGAACATGAACTATTGGGAATTGAAGGACTTTCTCTGTTTGATATCGATCTTGATAAACAAGAGGTGAATAACCTGAGGGAAACAATATAAGTTTACTTATTACATCAAACAAACATGTTTTACAAAGTTAGAAAATATCTACTAAACTTCTAAATACATAATCTCTTTAATTACAGTCTCCAGAACATGCACAATGATTATGAAGATGAAAACTCGGAAGATCTTTGATCAAGTTTAAATGCCAAGAAGAGCGGCAAGCGAGAAGAGGAAGAAGATTATTAAAAATTGTGTGTTTTCAATTCTCATTTCTTTGTTAAAGAGTACTTTTTAAATATTTATATATTTTTAAATTTTTCAATCAAAGTTTGTCATATTAATATTTCAAACTTAAATTGGTCGAAGAGTCTAAAATTTAAGAGTTTTAGGTTAGCAAATATTATGACAAGGGTCTAAAATTAATAAACTTCTCGAGTCTGCGCTGGCGCGGACAAACCATTCTAATTATATTAAGATGAGAAAATTGATATTTTTTTCTTTTTGAGATAGGATTAGCTCCGAGAACTATACATTGAGTCATCATCTCTTCTCTCCCTCCATCTCTTATGACAATCACAAATCTCCCAACTTAATCTCTTTATCCCTCTCCTTGTGCATTGACGAAAATACCCTTAATGAATTCTGAAAAATTAATTCAAAATTGGAAAAACAAAAACAAGTTTGGCGTTTTGGTTGAATTGGCGTTTGGCATCGGGATTTCAGAACCCGCGTTTGCTTTCTCTCTCTCTCCTCTTTCCTCCCGCCTTTACTCTCTCTCTCCTCTCGAGTCTCCCGCTCCTCTCTCCTCGGGCTCTCCTCCATCTTCCAAATCGAGCTCTCTGAAGCTTATCCCGGTCGTCCCAAGCTCCTTCTTTTCCCTGTCAATCATAATCTCGTTGCTTCGGTACCGTAGTCGGCGTAATTCGCAGCCGCAGGGAGAAAAAAACAACTCAGGTATGTTCAGTTGTTCATAGTTGGAATTCGTCATTTTCTCTTGAATAACTCGAATAAATCAGACAATTAGGTGTTTAGCAATGCTTTTTTGTTCGATTAGTACTCTGCATTAGCAAAGAACGTAATGCAGGGCTTGAATCGAAGCGAACCGTAAGTAGAAGAGTGAGCTAGTTTTGGGAATCTCCGCCGATAGTACAACTGAGTATAACTCGTATAACTAATTGTGATAGTATAACTAGGTAAACTAAGTATAACTACGATGAATTTGCAGCTTCAAAAATCATATCTTGTGTTTTACTCTTTTATATCACAGTTTTTGGATAATTAAAAGTTATATTTGGCAAATAATTGCATTGATTTATCAGAATTGGTTTAGCCCAAAATCGTGAAACTTGGTAGAACTGGTATAACTATGTGATGTAAAAATGCATAACTGTGTAAAACTAGTAATACTGATAAAGTTTTGACTTTGTTTTGGTAGGATATGATGGGTGACGACGTCAGCTTACATTTCAAATGCAAAGGTATCTTGTACAGTTTATTGGTGAAGACATCAACGAACGAGATAACACTATTGATGGTAAAAGCTTTGATATGCAAGAAGTTTGGGTGGGATGAAAAAATGGTGGAATTGAAATTGAGATACATTCCCCTGATTGTGAGATGCGACGAATACACGACCGTAGCTTCTGATGACGATCTCAGGTGCTATCTAAGTTCAGTTGATCCCCAAGGCTGTAGATGTATGTTGCATGTAGAGGTCACGGCTTCCTCAACACAGCCCACAGCGCAAGTATCTAGAGCAGAGAAGGAAAGTTCTGTTGGTGTGAACTATAATGATGATGAAATTGGAGGTAATGCCGTGGCTCTATATGTAGGCAACAACGTCGAAGCAGAACAAGAAGAGGAGGCAGAACAAGAAGAGGAGGAGAATGCAGAGCATGAAGAGGAAGGAGAAAAAGAAGCTCAGGAGATGGATGAGGATGATGTTACAGGCGAATATAGGCACAACGAATATGATGAACCACCTGTTGTACTAGCTAGTCAGTATACAGAGCCATGGGAAGATGGTTTGAATGTCAGATTACTTCAAGAGTTTCCAAATAAGAAGGCAGTGCAGAGAATGGTGGATAAAGCTGCATTTGAGAACTCTTTTGGTTTTGTGCTAGTGAAATCAGATAAGGAACGATATGTGGTGAAATGTCAAGATAAAAGGTGTGAGTGGAAATTACGAGCTGCAAAGGTACTAAATACACGGTTTTGTTTCTCAATTAGAACGCACCACAAGATGCATACATGCTCCCGGGCTAGTCAGAGTACAGTAAAGAAGAGGAAAGGCACTCCAGATTTAGTTGCATGTTTATTGCATGGAGATTATCCAGGATCAATGGAGACACCAAATCCTGGAACTATCCAGAAGCTTGTTCAGACCAGATTTGGTGTGAAGATATCCTACTCCACGGCGTTGAGAGGGAAAAATCGTCATGCTTATGATCTGCGTGGTGATCCAGGAGAGAGCTACAAGAAATTGTATTGTTATTTGCATATGCTAGAGAAGGTGAACGAAGGTACAAAGACAAGTGTGAAATTGGATGAAGCCGGAAAATTCATGTACCTATTCATTGCTTTGGGAGCTACCATTGAAGGGTTTCAATGTATGAGGAAGGTGATAACTGTGGATGCAACGCATCTGAAGAATGGGTATCGTGGTGTGCTAGTCTTTGCTTCAGCTCAAGATCCTAATAGGCACAACTATCCCCTGGCGTTTGGTGTACTTGATAGTGAGAACAATGATAGCTGGAATTGGTTTTTCGAGTTGCTGAAATCTGTTATACCAGACTCGTCCGAATTGGTGTTTATGACTGACAGAAATGAGAGCCTCATCAATGCCGTAGCTTATGTGTATCCAAGGGCTCATCATGGGTATTGTGTATGGCATTTGTCTCAAAATGTGAAGGATCATGCCTTTAATGTCAACAAAGGCGTGGTTTCATTTTATTTCAGGGAGATGAGCAGGCATTACACGGTGGCTGCGTTTGAGGCGGCTTACAGTTCATTTGAAGCGAGATTTCCTTCTGCAGCTGCGTATCTAGTAAAGACTACGAACAATAGGAAGGAAACTTGGGCAAGGGTTCATTTTCCGGGAGTAAGGTACAACCTAGACACAAGCAACTGTGTGGAGTCTTTAAACAGTACTTTTAGGCCTGCAAGGAGATACGCCTTGATACCCATGCTTGATGCGATTATTGCACAAATTTCTAAATGGTTTAATGAACATCGGAAGGAGGCCGCTGCTGGATCAGAAGCGCATAAGTTGGTACCTCTGGTGGAAAACCTAATGCACGATATGTGGAAGGAGGCTGAGAAATTACATGCGACGGAGTTAAACAGTTTCGAGCTTCTTTATGATGTAGTAGCTAAGAAATCCGACGGCACCGCTGACCCAGAGAGTAAGAATTACAGTGTGGACTTAATCAGGAAAAGTTGCAGTTGCAGGGTGTTTGATTTTGAGAAGATTCCTTGTGTCCACGCACTAGCCGCTTTCATGGAATTCAACACCAGCAATGTAGATAGTTCTCGATATCCTATGCAATTGATTGAGCTGGTCTCACATTATTACTTGATCGAGGTGTGGCAATTGGCGTATTGGAGGACGATTTTTCTCGTGCCTCATGAATCGGAATGGAAGGTCCCTGAAGACGTGAAGGCAAAGAAAATCATACCGTTGCAACCTATCCCGAAAAAGGGAAGAAAGAGAACGAAGAGACTTTTTGGTCCCGGAGAATACCGGCGTCCAAGGACAGCAAACAAAAGGCGGAAAAGACAAGGAATCGTGTGGGGGGACCTAGAGAAAGGTTCTCAGCCAAGTCCAGATCCGGAAGTTGTGTAAAACTGGTTTTTGTTTCAGGTCCAGATCCGGAACCTATGTACTTTGTATTAATTAGTTTGTTTCAGGTTTGGATAACTATGTAAAACTGGTTTTTTGTTGTGTAAAACTATGTACTTTGTATTACTTAGCTTGTTTCAGGTTTCACAATCATATGTAAAACTGGTTTTTTGTTGGGTAAAACTATGTACTTATTACTTATTGTAGGTTTCACAATCTAGTAAAACTGGTAAAACTAGTAAAACTAGTTGGAACTTATAAAATCCACAACTTGGTAAACCTTTGACGAAATTGAAAATATATGAAAAGAGAATAGTTATAACTTCTGAAATCCACAACTTTTAAATATAATTTGTGTCTCTGGGAAAAAATAACACAATTAGAAGAAAATAGTTTGTTTGCAAGTATTGGACACTATGTCAACCATATACTTCTAAGGTCACTTTGCTAAGAACAAGCAATTCCGGATGCGAGATTCGCAGAAATCAATTGTGTGGACATATTAATGGATAAAGTGATAAACATCATATGTTAATCCGTTAAAATCTTCTGTAAAACTAGAAAAAATACATACAAGGTTAAGTAATACTGATTTAATATAAAAACCAGCCAAAGTACAACTATTTGCAGTGGTGGTACAACTAGAACCTTGGTATAACTAAGTGTATTTTTCTGAATGAAAAACGGCGCTAATTTTGTATGAAAGACGGCGCGACGGCGCCACGCACGTGTTTCGTGTGTGGTTCAGGAAAAGAAAAAAATTTACGAAAAATTTATACAAATATAAAAGGACCTTATTTTCTCTCTCTTCTCATTTTTCCATTTTCGTTCTCTCTCCTCTTGTCCTCTCTCCTCCCGACGCTCCTCCCCTTCTTCCTTCGAACCCTAGATCTGAGCCCGAGTCTCCGAGACCAGATCTGCAAATTCTCAATAATTTCTCTTCCTATTCCGATTCGCTCTTCCTTGTATATCCGACTTAAGTAAGTACAACTAATTTCTCTTCTTCTTCCGATTCGCTCTTTCTTGTATATTCGATTGCATATGGGTTTCGTTTTAGTAGTTGTAGCGAATCTGAGATCGATTGCATATGGGTTTTAGTAGTTGTAGCGAATCTGGGCTCGATTGTATTTGGGTTTTAGTAGCTGTAACGAATCTGGGATGGAATTTCAGTCTTACTAATTTTAGTGCTTTCTCCTTTTGTTCTTTTGAATTTCGGAGTTATGTGGGGATCACCAGACAAAGCTACGATGAAGGCAATGATGAGGGAGATGGACTACATCACTCTCGTCGCTGATGGTCAACGTGGGATCCCAAAGGAATGTCCATGTGGTGCACGCATCGTTCACGAGATTTCGAAAATCGAAGGAGACTTGGGAAACAGATACTTTACATGCTCGGCATATAAGGTAAGAGTTATGAGTTATACGAGGATTTCACTCCAGATTATTTGAGCTTTATGAGTGTCTGAGTTCTGAGTTCTCATTCGTGATGATATATGCAGAATGACCGCTTCCACTGGCGCATCCCTTGGTTTCACGGAGTTGAGGAAGAGTTCGACAAGTTAAGGGAAGAGATAGAGGAGCAGAAGGATAAACAGAGTCAAAAACTGTCGGATCTTGAAGCACAAGTGAAGCGAATGAGTGAGGAGCTGAAAAAACACCGTGGAATGCTTGAAAAACTGAAGGACTTAGTTGACCATGTGGTGAAGACCATCTTTGACGGATGGTAGTTCATTGGAGTAATAAACATCGATAACCTATTCTCTTATTTCAAGTGTGTTCTCAAAACTTCTTTGTCAGTGTGTTTGTTTCATGAGACATAAACCTATGTAAGATTATTATCTATTATCATCATCGTCATCATTATCTATTTTTTTGTTGTACTAGTAATACAAACTGAAACAACTTAGTTTTACTAGTAATACAAAATGAAACAACTTAGTTTTACTTAGTTTTACTAGTAATACAAAGTTGAAAACACTCAGTTTGACATAGTTTTACTAGTAATACAAAATAAAAAACATTTAGTTTGACAACATTCAGTTTGACATAGTTTGACATAGAAGACACAAAACAAACTTAATCATTGTAATACAAAAACTCCCAGTTTGACATAGAAGACACAAAACAAACTTAGTTCTTCTCATCCTCTCTCGAAACCTCTCCCTTTTTCGCCTTCTTCTTTTCCATCTCAGCCTTCTTCTTTTCTTTCTCAGCCTTCACTTCTGCCTTCTTCCTTTCTTTCTCAGCCTTTTCTTCTGCCTTCTTCCTTTCTTTCTCAGCCTTTTCTTCTGCCTTCTTCCTTTCCTTCTCTAGCTTTTCTTCTGCATTCTTCCTTTCCTTCTCTACCTTTTCTGCTGCCTTCTTCTCTATCTTCCCAGCTACCCTTGTAGACACCCTCGGCTGGTTAGCCTCCTCCAAGAGCTTCTCCCGCTTCTGCCTTTTACCCTCGTCCCGCTTCTCGTTCATTCCATCTCGATCCCGTTTTAGATGGACTTTCAGCTTAGGGCGATGAGAAATTGGTCGTTTAGGAGAAGCGACCACACTGCCGAGACTTTCACCTCCTTCTTTCTCCACATTGCCTTCAGGAGAAGCGACCACACTGTCGAGACTTTCACCTCCTTCTTTCTCCTATAATCCAACAAAGAAAAAATATTAAAAATAATATTAAGCAAAAATATACTAAAAGAATTGCAACTATTACCTTTTCGGGCTCGCTTTCTTTCTCTTTGCCAGAGACATCATCAACTTCCTTTTCCTGCGATTTATCTCTGCCATCTTCTTCCTCCATGGCTTCTTCTCGACTTTCATCGGCCATGGCTTCTTCTCGACTTTCCATGGCTTCTTCTCTACTTTCATCGGCCATGGCTCCCTCCATGGCTTCTTCTCGAGTTTCATCGGCATGTGGCGGTTCTTCCTCTCCCTTGTCCTGCAAAGGGTCTCTGACCTGTGGCGGTTCTTCTAAACCCTTGTCCTGCGAAGGGTCTCTGACCTGTGGCGGGTCTCGAAGTCCCTCTGCCACGTCTTCGAGATCCCTGTCACCACTTTCATTACCGTCTCTCTCTTTTGAACCCTACAATAAAAAATAGTTATACTCAGTTTCACCAAGTGTTACTTTTGTTCTAAAATCTGAAAACACATAGTTTGTTACCTGTGAGATGTCATGGCAAATGTTGTCATCCTCCATCCTCATATGAGCAGTTTGCTCATTCACATAAGCTTCAATCGGAGCTATCCTTACCTCCAACCGATCAACTTTCTTCTCAATTGTCGTCATACGCTCTTCCATCTCCTTCTTCATGCTCTGGATAAGCTCTATCAATTCTGAGGATGGCGTGTTAACAGCTTCCGGGTTCACCGCTTCGGTGTTCACCGCTTCATGGTTCTGAGGAGGAGCTTCTGCTAATCTTGCCACATCTTCGTCGTACATATCCTTCAAAAATACGACCTGCGATCGCTTTGCGAGCTTCATCCAACTCTCGACAACGACACAATGCTCATCAACGTCGTCCTCAGGTTCTGTGATTCTTTCCAGAAGACGCTTCTCACTAGCGTTTGCAGTTAGGATATTATCAATGTCCTGCAAATACAATAAACGAGTAAAGATTACTAGGTTAATAATTTACAGTAAAATTTATAGGCTTATATGCAAAAGTATAACTGACCTTAGTTGTACCAAGTTGTGCACTTATTCTCTCGAAAGGAATTCCTTTCATGTCGCATTTTTTGAACATTGACTTGCACATCTTCGGACATTCCTCATCTGCGCCTGGAAAAGGTTGTAGAAATCGTTCACCTAACTGTGGAATAGCCTCGAAAGCTAAGAACTACACAGAGAACAATGAGGTACAGTTAGAAAGCATTAGACTTAAAATATTAAAAGTTTAGACAATACGAAATTGGAAATAAATATTACCTCAAGAGGTAAAATGAAACCTGGAATCGGCCATGGTTGGTCTGCTTTTCAAGTCCTGGAACAGCCCCATTGAAATGGGTCATTGTCTTGGAGATCCCTTCTAACATGTGATCATAGGACAATCTCCCCCAAGGAAATGTCCTACACAAACTCAGATCACCCACGGCTCTTAACAAGAATGGGTCCACGGAACTAGCTTTTTTTCCAGTCTTCGTCTGCCCTTTGATAATGCTAGCTAAAAAGTACAATATCAGCATCCTCAGCCTGTCATCAGAATTCGGAGAGGCTTCATCTTCTCTAACATTGGCTTAAGATCTTGATATCTTACTGTTGAACCCAGCTTAAAATACTTCTCCACAAATGCCATTTTCCCAGATTTATTTTCCGCAAAACCGCTTGGATAGTTATGGGAATACAATCCCGATATCAAGGCGTGTTCCCTTAGACCATAACGGATAGGCACGCCATTTACAATGAACCAAACTTCTTTTTTCTTCTCAATGCATGCGGTTCGAAGAAGCAGCGTCCAAATTCCCTGAAGCTTGTGGTTTCGGTCCCTTGACATGTGGAAGATGTGTTTGAACTGCGGGTGAGTCTCAAACCAATTCTTCTCCTTGTCTGTAAGCTTAGGCCGTAAATCGCGGAAGGTCTCGAACAAGTCATGCAAATAACATCTCGTCGATATCTTCACTTTCTTAGTGTACTCCGTCGGCGGAAAATACATCCTCAAAGGTCTCATTGGTTCCACTTCCTCTTCCTCTTCCTCGCCCGAGTACTGCAAAACACATGTACCAAGTATTACCTAGTTGTACTTTCATATCTAAATATAGTTTTACCAAGTTATACCAGTATTACTCTTTCATAACCAACAAAAACGAAATGAGAGTTAAACGAGGAAACTCCTAATCAATCCTGACACTCTCCTCTTCAATCCTCAACAATCTCACAGGAAATGCGAGTTAAACAAACCCGGAATCAGAGATAAACTAACGATCATATACTAACAACCAAAATCCAATTCAACAACATTTTTCCCTAATTCAGTTGCTCTTGATTGTCAGAGTACTTACGCTTGAATCGGGGTCACTCTCACTTTGTCTCCTCCCTCCGTCGCTCCCGTCACGAGCTCCTTCTCCAGTCGGAGGGTCTCTCAAACTTTGACTCCCTCCGTCGCTCCCGACTCCATCTTCTGCTCCTTCTGCTCCAGTCGGAGGGTCTCCTCTGAGTTCTCTTTCACTCCTAGTTTCCTCTGAGTTCTCGTTCTCTTCCTCAGGTCGAGCCCGTTGCTTTTCCGCGCCGATCTCGGGTGACGCTGATTCGACATCTCCTTTCTTTTTCTTTCGACATTCTTTCTTTTTCTTCGCCAACACCTTCTCGAGATTTTCGTGAGTACCATCTTCAATTTCGAAATTCTCGTTCAAACTCACTCTTCAAACTCTCACTCTATTTGATTCTCTTTTCGAATTTTGAATTCTTTCTCAGAAACGTGAAAGAAGCTGAAACGGTGAAGCGAGAAAGGAGAACGCGATTTTAGGGATTTAGGGTTATCCGATTTCAGATGGATATAACTCGTTGGATCCGGATAATTGGTGGTCGGATCTGTAATTATCACAACTTTCCCGGATATTGTTGTCTTTTACTCGTTTTTCGAATTAAAAATAAATGCTCACAAAATACAAGAAAATAGAGGGACAAATGAGATTATCATAAGAGATGGAGGGAGAGGAGAGATGATGTCTCCTATGCATTGCATCACGCTTACCTAATCTTAGCTCAGTTTCTCCTTTATAAACAAATCTCCGCCTCTTCGGTTCTATCATAATTCTAGACCCAAAGAGAAAAAAACAAATCTCTTCATATTCTTGGTTTCAGTTTGGTCCGAATAATTTTTGTTTTCGTATCGGTTGTTGCTAGATTTCTCAGCCTCTATAATTTTCTCAATATCTGATACAACAACTCTTCGGTAGCCATCAGATCCGCAGATCCGGAGAACACAGATCCTGAGACTAGATCCAGCATCAATTCACAAGCGAGCCATCGGCCACACAAACATCAATCCACAAGTGAGACATGGGGAACCAGTTGTTCCATGGGAACCCAGATCAGGAGAGATCAGGAGAACGAAGATCCGGAGACTTCCATCCAACAAACATCTGAAGAAGTTATTGGAGATGAAACAAGGATCCTCTCATCAAGACCAAGACTACTTATAGTAAGATCGATGTTGGATCTAACTGAAGAAAAGAACAAACATTCCAACTGCGAGGACTCCTACAACATTTATGATCGAAAAGATGATACGAAAACGACTATGGATGGAGTAAAGCTCTTGATTATGATGCTTACGAGCCTCTCAAATACTCCGGTGTCGGTGTTTAAAAACAAGACCGGCTTAGGGTTATTTGTTTGGTTTTAGATTAGCCATTTTCCCGTGAAATGATTTGTTTGGTTCAGACAAAACCAATACTGAACCATATTTAATTCATTTCATTATAGAATTTGTTGGTTCCGGTTAGTTTTTGTTTTACATCGTTGAACAACTAGACCGGCTTATGGATATTGGTTTGGCTTAGATAAACTAATTTGAATTTTAGATTATTTACCCGTGAAATCCGATTGATTTTTCAAACATTTTACATGATGGCCCCAATTCACAAGTGAGCCATGGTCCCAAGATCGGGAGAAACACAATTTCAATCCACAAGTGATCCGCCATCGGGTAATAATTTCTTCCTGGAGACGCTTTCAGAGAAATTGTTTGGGCGTTTGATCTCTTTTGCGTTTATATCTTAACGTCTAAGATTTATAACTATTTTGTTTACATTGTTTAATAACAAGACCGGCTTAGGGTTATTGGTTTGGCTTAGATAAACCAAACTTAAGTTTAGATTAGCCATTTCCCCGTGAAATGATTTGTTTGGTTCAGACAGTCTGAACCGTATTTTATTCATTTCTCTCTGTTGTTTATTACCCTAAATTCGATTTTAATTATAGAATTTGGTATTACTGAAATGGTATTACTTAAATCTATAGCGCTAGGCTTGCCAGTCTACTCAACGAATGTTTTCAAATTACCTGTCGGAATCTGTGAAGAGATCAACCAATGGTGTATTAGCAAAATTTTGGTGGAATTCTACGAGTGATAGAAATGGAATGCATTGGTTTTCTTGGAACAAGTTGTGTTTGCCGAAAAAAGGAGGACTTGGCTTCCGGGATATAGAGTGCTTTAATTTAGCTTTGCTTGCTAAACAAGCCTGGAGATTGCTGCAGAAATCGGAATGTCTGATGGCTCGAGTTTTTGCGTGGAAGATATTATAGAGATGCAAATATTTTGAATGCCACGCGAATGCAATTTGGAAGCTTCAAACAGCACCAAAAATCTGGAGAATGATTTCGGGATCTCTACCAACTGGTGAAGCGTTGAGGAGAAGACACATTATACGAAGCTCATTATGTCTCAGATTAGCAAATCATATATTCTTTGAGTGCCCATATGCGGAACAAGTGTGGAGAGCAGCGGGGATTTTCAATCCAAATCTCTTAACAAGGACGATGACGTTAGATGAAGAGCAGAAATAAGTTGGATTTTTCAACAGAAATCAATTCATTGGAGGTCTTTGGTAAGGTTTGCGGTTAATGATATGGTGGAATGGATTAAATCTCAGGAAAATATCCAGCAGGAGACAACACATATGGAATAAACCGACACAAGGATGGCTTAAATGTAACTATGATGGGTCTTTGAATCTGGTGTTCAACATTCTGGAGTTGGACGGCTGATACGGGATCATAACGGAACATACTTAGGGTGATACTAAGGCGAATAATGCTTGAGAAGGTGAATTCCAAGCTTTGTTAATTGCCATGCAAAATTGTTGTGTTAGAGGTTATCGGAAGATTATCTTTGAAGGAGATTGCAGGAATCTAGTAAATCTGGTTAACTCTAACTCATTGGATTCCGGGGTTTATAATTGGAAAGAAAGATTTGACCAAGTGGTCTTCGCATGAATTCCAAGAGGAGCAAATCAAGCAGCAGAACGTAGTTTAAGGAATATATCAAGTTACAATTATTATCCTCTAGTTCCATATTTTCTTTCCTCTGTATTACAGTGTGACTACTATATTGCTTGAATATAATTCTATTTCGTTGAAAAATAAAATAAATAAAGGAAAACGAAAAAAAAAAAGACTATAAATACCTTCTTCCCCTTCGACAGTCTCTAGAGAAGACCTAAATCCCTAGATCTGAAAATTATCATCCTCACCCCCTCGAAAACCTTGCGCAGTCGCATCTTCTCAACGTGTCCATGGAGGGATCCGCCACCAAAGTAATCTCTTGTTCGATCCTTAGGGCTTTCTTTCTTGAATCTCTGTTTCTGAATTTGAAATATCTGATTAGATATCTTTTTGTACCTAATTAGGTTCCGGAATTGAACGATTGTGATGCTGCACAGATTCGAAAAAGCAGGTAAAAATTGGTACAATCTTTAGATCTCTGCTGTATATGTAAGATGTGTTGTTGTCATCATGTTAATATTATTCTCACCTGCAATCAAATCTATGGCTGTAGAATCGTGAGCAGGATTTACGTTGAGGGATACGACACTTCGCTTTCTGGCTATGATTTCGTTGCGTCTATGAGAGGACACTTCTCTTCATGTGGAGAGGTGGTGCATGTTTATATTCCCGGATACACTGGTTACATTGAAGGCACTACTCTCAACAGGTTTGTGGCTGTCTCTTTCCTCCAGTTTTTTATCAGCTTTGCTTTTGCGATAAATTATTGAATTTGTTTTTACAGATTTTCCTTGATTTATCTTCGGGGAAAAGGTGCAGAAGAGAAGGCGTTGAAACTTAGTGGAAGTTACAGCAGCGAAGGACACAAGTTAGTCGTTGAGCCTTACCCGTTTCATGCCAAACACCGTGACCATAAGTTTGCTCCTACGAGATACGCAGACAATAAGAAACGTCACGTGTAAGTTTTTTTGTTTTTTTAAAGATTTTTGTCTATAAGATAGGTTCTTGTCAGGTTGGTTGATATTGTTATCTCCAGGATTTTTGTTGGTGGATATAAAGCTGCGCTTAACTCGGATTATAACTTGGAGTATGTTAAGAGGATGCTGTTACAAGAACGCTCTAAATGTGGGCGTGTCTTGGATATAGATCTTCACGAAATTTGGGAAGGTCGTTCTCTCTCCAGGTTTGTGGCTTCTTCCTCCCAATTTGCTCTCTTGTTATCAAATGCTAACCAAAGATTTGTTTTTGTTTGTTACTTTTAATAGATACGCTTTCGTTGAAGTTGAGGGAATAGACGCAATAGAAAAGTTGCTGCAACTTGATGGATGTGAAGTCGAAGGATTAGAGTGTATTCATAGTTATAGGGTTGCGCCTCCAGTAAAAGATGTACCGAACTCCGGCAATTCTTCCAGGACTACTCGGGTAATGGTTGCTACAGCTTCACTTCCTAAGCCACCGAGTGTGGGTTATCTTCTCCCTTTTCCATGGAAGTGTCGTGTGGATAGGAGTAGGACTGGCTATTTGTGCATTTGGAATTCGGAGACTGGTCGTATCCACTACGTGAGAGAGAGATCAATTTCTTCTTCAGAAATCATTTACGCACCTAAGGATCCAAATCTCCCTGAGCCGTGGAAAGGACTTGTGGATGAGAGCAATCAGTATTTGTACTTTTGGAATAAAGAGACTAATGTTACCCAGTACAAGAGACCTTAACCTAGTAAGTTCAACCTCCTTCTAGATATCTCCGTGGTTGGCTATTATCCCTCTCAATAATACACGTGGTTTCTTTGAGGGGAAAGAACATAACTACGCAGTAGAAAGCTCGAAGAAGAATGAGGCTACGGAGAAAAGCCGTCTCTAGGAGAAGACCATGATTTAGTTTTATTGTTTTTCTTTCGTTTGTCTGGATGTTAAATGGAATCTCACTAAGCGTGGTGTACTTATCTCTATGTTTAAAGGAAGCTCAATTATCTTTATCTGCCTTCATGAGTATACACGAGGGTTGATTAGTTCAGGAAAAGCATAGTCTCCCATCTCTATTGGGTTGGCCAAAATGGCAAAATGTAAAGAAATGAGACTAGTTGTAACATCTGCTCCCTAATTCTGTTACCACTGGGACGCTGGTGATTTGCCACTTCACTTACATGAGAGCCTCATAAAAAGTAGGAAGCAAGACCATTTCTTAAGCTATACAAGGGACGTCGTGTACTAAATGAGGCAGATGCTAACAAGTTAAAAACCCATATTGGCCCATTCTTTATGTTCTTTTCGTTTTGGTGCAAAGCCTTCTAGAGATTGAGAGCATCTCAGTTAAATTCAGCATATCAATTTATTTATTACATTTTCTATTTTTTTTTTTAATTTTTATAATAACTATCATTTATTATTATAGTAATTTAATAAGAATCTGAAAAGTCATTTAAAAATATTATGTATAGATCTACAAAAACTATTTATTTAGTAATAATAATAATAAAAAAAATTTATAGAAAGAATAATTTTTTTTAGTATTTTGGAATAAAATGAGACGAGATCGAACATGACAATACGAAAAAATAGAACTTTGAGAATAGGGATAGGACAAGACATAAATTCCGCCTACCCCTAAATATAATAATTATATTTAGGGGCGGAACTGAAAAAACTAAAAAAAAACATGATGAAAAAGGACAAGACATAAAGGTTGAATGGGACATAATGAAAAGAAATAGAATGTGGCGGGATTGGACGGGACGAGTTGAAAATGTACATAATGAGATGGAAAGAGACGGACAAGAATTTTGCCTAACCCTAATTATATTTAGAGACGAGATAGAAACAAGATAAAATGGAAAAGAACATAATATGATAAGATGTGATTGGATGGGGCGGACATAACGTACGGAACGGAAAAGAACGGGACAAGATGAAAAGTAATAGAACTGAACAGAATTATGCCTAACCCTAATTATATTTAGGAAACGAGACGAGAAGAAACGAAATGGGACATAACAAAATGGGATAGAATGAGACTGGATGGGCGGGACAAAAAGAACATAGATGATGAAAATGAACAAAATGGGAGGAGATAGAACAAAACAGTACATTTTTTTTGCCTAACTTTAATTATATTTAAATAATATGTGTATAATATTGTTGAAAAGAATATTAAATTTGTGGAAAAACAATAAAACTAACACAAACCGCACGAAGTGCGGGTCACCCCTAGTTAATTTATAGACCTTTCCATTTCCATTTATTAATTTATATTATATATTTATCTATCATACTAATATTTGCGACGTCCCAATTTCGTTTTCAGCCACCACATTAACTCTAAGCTGGTTGATTACCCACACATCGGGTAATGTTCACCGGGTACTGTTCATCGGTACTGTTCATCGGTACTGTTCATCGGTACTGTTCATCCGCGATTCGGCACTGTTCATCGTCTTTCCTTTTTCCTTCAGTTTCAATCATTGTCAAGGTGAGTGCATGACTGTGGGTCCGATTTGCTAGATTAGATTTGGTTTGTGATTGTTCTTGATGAGTTTATGTGTTTAATTGTTATTTCATGATATTTTGGTTGTTTCTGTGATGAATTGTGTGTTTGTGTGGTTTAATCTGGTTTAATTGAATTAATTGATTTAATTGGTTTATCTTGGTTTAAATTGATTTGATTCTGGTTAATTGGTGTAATTGAATTAAAATGTTTTAATTCAAATTGTTTGATTTATTTTCGGATTTAATTAATTAATGGTTAATTTAATTAATTAATTGATTTAAAATAATTATTTTAATTATTTTAAAATATGGAAAATTATTATTTAATTATGAGAATTATTTAATAATTGAGAAATGAGTTTTAATTATTAAAATTATTTAATAATTGGAAAATGGTATTTAATAATTATTGGAGTTTATAAATATTATTAAATATCTAGTAAATTGCGTAAATGGCTCGTAGGCAGAGTGATTGCCTCACTAAGTATTTATTAAATACTTACGCAACTCCATTCCAATGTGTTGCAGGTAAAAGATTTGTGTGATCGCGGAATCAAGGCTGAAGAGGGGGATGATAGGATGTTTACTGTTTTATTGTTTTGCATTATTTTGCTAGACTTGTTTAATTATTATTTGCTTCCGCTGAGCTGATTTATTTGTTATTGATATTTATTTATTTTAAAGACCTTCGCTAGAATTGATTAGTATTTATTATAAAAAAAAAAAATGTTGGTTGTTTCATTTTGGTATCAGAGCCTAGACGGTTTTAGGACTGTTAGAATTGCTAGGCTTTAGTATCATCCCCTTCAGCTACAAGAGATTCCGCGGTGAGTTTATGTTTGTTTTGAGTTTTGGTTGCTGTTCTAGTGTGCTCTTTTCGGTTCCATGAGTGAGATGGACTGAGTAGCTAGAGGTTGTGGCGCGAGAGGGCGCGGTGCTGAGGCCGTGGTGGCAGAGCTAGAGGCCGGGGCCGGATTGTGGACTTCGGCGGATTCGGGAGAGAGTGTGGCGCCGAGTGTGGCGACTGCGTCGGTGACCCAGTCGGTATCCGTGGCGAGTGAGGCCAGTGTGGATGCGAGTGTTGGTTTGGGAGCGGGGGCTGCTCCGGGTTGGGGTGGTGCTCCGGCTCAGGGTCTTGATGACTTAGTGGTGGGTTTGCTGACGCAGTTATTGGCTCGTTTTCCGCCAGTGGTTCCACAGGGGCTCCGGGAGTACCTCCAGTGGCAGAGGTGCAGCAGAGGGCTGCGGGTTTGTTCAGCCGCAGGCTGTGGGTTTGATGGTGCCGCCTATTTGGATATGATGGGGCACATGCAGAGGATTGGTACGCCGTACTTTGAGGGCGGAGTGGTGTTAGAGATTGGAGCGGAATTTCCAGTCTATCAGATGTTTGTTTAGTACAGGTGGAGTTAGGCAGTCCACTATCTGAGTGGTGATGCACATTTGTGGTGGTTGTAGTTTGTTCTTTTTGTCTGTGATAGAATTGTGGAGGTTCTCAACGCATGTGTGTAATGACCTTGTTAGTGGGCGGTTTTGAGTCCCACGTTTTATTCGACTCTGGAGCATCGAATTGCTTCATTACACCGGAGCGTGCCGAGAAGAGTGGCATCCGGAGTAGCGCGGGCGAGAGCGCGGGCATGGTCAAGGTGGCGGGAGGTGGATTCTTGTCTACTTTGGGCCGTGCGAGGAGATCGAGATCAATGCCAGCAGACTTAGTCATCAGTCCGGTGGAGCTGTATGACGTTATTCTCGGGATGGACTGGTTGTCACACTACAGAGTTCATCTGGATTGCTACAGAGGTAGAGTGGTCTTCGAGCGAGATGCAGGGAGGTTGGTTTATCAGGGAGTGAGACCGACTTCCGGGAGTATTGTGATATCTGCTATTCAGGCCGAGCAGTTGTTAGAGCGGGGCTGTGAGGCGTATCTGGCGACGATTTCTATGTCTGAGTCAGGAGCTGGAGTTGTTATGGGAGATATTGAGGTTGTCCAGGATTTTGAGGATGTCTTTCAGTCACTGAAGGGATTACCACCATCTCGGTCTGATCCTTTCACGATTGAGTTAGAGCCGGGGACAGCACCGATATCGAAGACGCCTTACAGGATGGCGCCAGCTGAGTTGGCAGAGCTGAAGAAGCAGATAGAGGACCTTTTGTCTAAGGGGTTCATTCGACCGAGTGTTTCACCGTGGGGAGCACCGGTGTTGTTTGTGAAGAAGAAGGATGGCAGTTTCAGACTTTGTATCGATTACAGAGGTCTTAACCGAGTCACTGTGAAGAACAGGTACCCACTCCCGAGGATTGATGAGTTGTTGGATCAGTTGAGGGGTGCTACTTGGTTCTCCAAGATTGACTTGGCATCGGGGTATCATCAGATCCCGATAGATGAGGCAGATGTCAGGAAGACTGCTTTCAGGACGCGTTATGGGCATTTTGAGTTTGTGGTTATGCCTTTCGGTTTGACTAACGCGCCGGCAGCCTTCATGAGATTGATGAACGACGTGTTCAGGGAGTATTTGGACGTGTTCGTCATCATTTTCATTGATGATATTCTGGTATACTCGAGGAGTCAGGAGGAGCATGCGACTCACTTGAGGTTGGTTCTGGAGAAGCTTCGGGAGCAGAAGCTTTTTGCTAAGTTGAGCAAGTGCAGTTTCTGGCAGCGAGAGATGGGATTTCTTGGCCACATTGTTTCTGCAGAGGGAGTTTCTGTGGATCCGGCTAAGATTGAGGCTATCAGAGATTGGCCTAGACCTAGTAGTGCCACCGAGATCAGGAGTTTTCTGGGTTTGGCAGGATACTACAGGAGGTTCGTCAAGGGGTTTGCTACCATGGCGCAGCCGATGACGAAGTTGACCGGGAAGGATGTCCCGTTTGTTTGGTCAGCTGAGTGTGAGGAGAGCTTTAGTCAGCTCAAGGAGATGTTGACTACTACACCAGTGTTGGCGTTACCCGAGCCAGGGAAGCCTTACATGGTGTATACAGATGCTTCAGGCATTGGTCTTGGTTGTGTGCTGATGCAGGAGGGCAGAGTGATAGCATATGCTTCGAGACAGTGGCAGGGCAGTGAGCGTAACCGTCCTACACATGACTTAGAGTTGGGAGCAGTGATCTTCGCGTTGAAGATTTGGAGGTCTTACTTGCTAGGTGAGACAGTACAGGTCTTCACGGATCACAAGAGTTTGCAGCATATCTTCACTCAGCCGATGATGAACGCGAGACAGACGCGCTGGGTTGAGTTCTTGGCGGACTATCAGGTGAGCATTAACTACCATCCGGGCAAGGCTAACCTAGTGGCGGACGCGTTGAGTAGACGGAGGTATGATTCCGCAGTTGAGCGAGATGTGGAGTCTCTAGTTGGCGAGATCAGTACCTTGCGTTTGTGTGCCATTTCGCAGGAGCCTTTGGGTTTAGAGGCAGTGGATCAGGCGGATCTACTTAGCAGGATCAGAGTTGCTCAGCAGAGTGATCAGAGTTTGCTAGATGCGACGAGAGTGACTGGTTCTGAGTATGAGGTCTCTGCGAATGGGACTATCTTGGTTCGTGGGCGAGTTTGTGTGCCTAAGGATGTGGAGTTGAGACATCAGATTTTGGGAGAGGCTCACGCGAGCAAGTTTTCCATTCATCCGGGAGCGACCAAGATGTACCATGACCTCAAGAGGTACTATCATTGGGTCGGGATGAAGAGGGATGTAGCAGACTGGGTTGCGAAGTGCAACACTTGTGCCTTGGTGAAGGCAGAGCATCAGGTTCCGGGTGGTCTTTTGCAGAGTTTACCCATTCCAGAGTGGAAGTGGGACAGGATTACGATGGATTTCGTGGTTGGACTACCTGTTTCGAGGACTTTCGATGCTATCTGGGTGATTGTGGATCGGTTGACTAAGTCCGCACATTTCTTGGCCATCAAGAAGACAGATGGAGCTGCTGTCTTGGCTAGGAAGTTTGTGCGAGAGATTGTGAGGCTGCATGGAGTGCCAGCTAGTATTGTGTCAGACCGTGATCCCAGATTCACTTCAGAGTTTTGGAGGGCGTTTCAGGCAGAGATGGGCACTAAGGTGCATCTGAGTACAGCTTATCATCCGCAGACAGATGGTCAGTCAGAGAGGACTATTCAGACTTTGGAGGATTTGCTGAGGATGTGTGTGTTGGATTGGGGTGGCCATTGGGCAGATCACCTGAGCTTAGTTGAGTTTGCATACAACAACAGCTTTCAGGCGAGTATTGGCATGGCTCCATTTGAGGCTTTGTATGGGAGGCCATGTAGGACACCCCTATGCTGGACCCAAGTGGGGGAGCGCAGCATGTATGGAGCTACTTATGTTCAGGAGACGACAGAGAAGGTTCGTGTTGTGAGGCTGAACATGAAGGAGGCTCAGGATAGGCAGAAGAGTTATGCAGATAGACGCAGACGAGAGCTTGAGTTTCAGGTGGGAGATAGAGTTTATCTCAAGATGGCTATGTTGAGGGGTCCTAACAGATCCATAGCAGAGAACAAGCTGAGTCCGCGTTTTATGGGTCCGTTTCCAGTAGTGGAGCGAGTTGGGCCATTGGCTTACAGGCTGGAGTTGCCTGAGATTATGAAAGCCTTTCACAAGGTTTTTCATGTGTCGATGCTGAGGAAGTGTCTTCACCCTACAGAGGAGTTAGTGGCTAGGATTCCAGAGGATCTTCAGCCAGATTTGACAGTGCCGGCAGTGCCTGTGAGGATTTTAGAGAGGAGGGAAAAGGTTCTGAGGAACAAGAGGATTCCCTTACTGAGGATTTTGTGGGATTGCAGTGGTTCTACAGAGGAGACTTGGGAGCCAGAGGCAAAGATGAAGTTGAAGTTCAGGAAGTGGTTCGACAAGCAGGTCGAGGAGTGAGCTTATTTCATCTTTGTAGCCTCAGTTGTTATTTTTGGCTTTGGTGTTATTGTATTTTCGTTTTCGTTGTAACGATATACATTTTGGAGTTTTAATGAGATGCAGTTTTTCCTCATTTTGCCTTGTGTTGTGAAATGGTATTCGGATGTTACACATGTTTGACCAGTTTTTGGTTGTGAGACGGTCTAATCTTATGGTTATAGACATTTTGGAATTTTTACTCTAAGGATTGCGATCCTGAATAACTCATCATGTTTTTGGAGACTTCGTTCTCTGGCAGACTCTCTGGGTGCAAGTAGGCCTCAGTTGAGTGTAGCTTATCTGGGTGCAAGTAGGCCTCAGTATAAGCAGTTTGTTCATCTGGGTGCAAGTGGGCCTCAGTATGGACGGTTCGGGTTCGTCTGGGTGCAAGTGGGCCTCAGTGCGGACCGGTGTGGACTTGTCTGGGTGCAAGTGGGCCTCAGTACAAGTGGTTTGGATGATGAGTTAGGAGTGAAATTTTCTTGGAACGTGCTTATGACATAAGATTGACGTGTCTCGGGGATCAGGTGAGGATCTCCGTGTTGCGGCCTTGCGAGGTCGGGTTTTGTGGTCTTTGTGACGTTTTGTGTTGGGATAATTGATAATTGATTTTCGGTTCAATTTGAGTGAATTGGGCCCGGTTTAGCCCGAGAGAGAGAGAGAGAGAGAGAGAGAGAGAGAGAGAGAGAGAGAGAGAGAGAGAGGGGTGATATTGTGGGGTTTGGGTTTAGGGAGTATGGTTTATATTGATTGGTGTAAAGTTTAGTTTTTAGTGAATTTTTAAAAATTTGAATTCCGTTGGCTGTACCGGACTTCAAAGTCCGTTGGTATTTGTATCAAACCGTTCCCTTTTAATACATGGTGTTTTGCGATATATAATCTGATTCCGTGTTAGACCTTCCGAGACGTACTCGGATTACTTGGTCGTTCTAGACTTAGATCTTCTGCATGTCGGATCCCATAGGAATCTAGGTGAGAAGCTTGGTTCGGTTTACCATGTATGAGATGTGAGACTGGCTCGGCTTAACTGACAAACGGGCAGGGCTTGGTCGGCCCTGACTCCGAAGAAGTGGATTATTTCATCACTGCATTCGTAGAACGCGTTTTGATCGAGTGTTTGGCCATAACACCAATGTGAGTTAGGGTGGTTGCGCTAAGTGTGAAGTGCTTTAGTTCAAGTTGATATGATACCAAAGATGAAAAGGACTTTAAAAGGAAAGGATTTTAATTTGTTTTATTGAAACAGCTGGACTTTTGGGAAGGCTGCCTACGTACCTCAGAATGAGGATCAAGCCGATTATAGTTCACTTACAAATATTTACAAGTATGTATTATGAACTGACTTGTCGAACTAGAGAGTACAGTAAACGAATATTTAGAGCATGTTCATTGAGGGTATGTTATCATAATCTCTTATATCTAGTTTATATTAATAATTAATGTTTGAAGTGTGAACACACACAAACATATTATTGTTTAATTGAAAGTCTCTTATAAATTAGAAAAAGTACTCTCAAA